TGCTCCTGATGGCTCAGTTGGACAGGGGTATGGACAGGGGTAACGATGTCCCAACGTGCGGGGAGCAATTATCTAGGATTCCCACTCAGAGACAATAGCTAATAGCATCTCGCGGGAAAAATGCTTTTACTCGGACAATGAATCATCAATTTTCATTAAAATTTCCGTGAAATCACCTACTTCCGTTGGATGTGACACCCTGTCAGTTTCCTGCCAATATCTTGCGCAATGTTCCGTCTGCAGGCATGGTTGGGAGCTTTTTTTTTGGAGCCACCCGATATGCATTACTATGTATATGGCGGCAAGGAGCATGCATTAAGTTTTGTGAGAAGGTGCATGCACCTTCTCATAAAAATTTTCAATGAGCTATTCGTAGCTATCTCGCTGCCCCCGACGAAGGCAAATTGGACATGCTAGCGATAATCTGTTAAGTTCCAGTTCACTTAAAGCTTCCAAGGTGCTCCATGAAGCACGTATCACCTTCAACGTTTCTATTCTGTTGTCATTGCTTTTAGATTCGTCAGTTCGGAAGATATAGCATTTAACTCACTTTTCTGTTTGGTCTGAGGACACCCTTCATCAGGCAATATTGCAGTAATTTTCCTAACGGGTCGGAAAAAAATAGTAAAGCTTTCTCAGAATAAAGGGACTGAACTTGTTTAAAAAATTTTAACGACTTGATCACTCTTTGCAGGTGGGTATGATATGAAGACACGCCTCGTATTTGCAACTGTGGGCATGATTTTGTTGCCGGCAGACTAAATGAAAAGTATCCGACAACGTGATTTTTCAGGAAATTTGCAGACAAGGCGAATAAGTTACGGGAGTTTCATCACATCATGGCAAAATGAGCATACAGTATAAATGATTTATCATGTGAGCCTTATGAACATACCCATGCACATATTCGTCACTTCCCTTCCTGCATTCAATCATGTATGAAGAATGTATTTTAGATTCTTCGTATATGAGCAATGAAATTCATTTGATTGGACTTAAAACAAAATGATTCCGAGGATCAGAACAAAATGGAAGTTCTACCTTCAGGAACTACTTTACTCATGAACATGTGCGCGAAAAGGATAAGTCAAACCTTTCAGCAAAGGAAAAAGTAAATACTTTGATCCATGAGACATCAGAAGACAGACGACATTTAATATATACAAGGTATTCCAAAAGTCAGAAATAATAGTGAAATAACTAGGGGATTTTCTCCAGCCTAGACCATCAGGAATTCACAAGGTAATCTGAGTTGATTCTGGAATGTCTAAGTTCCCTAAATGTCAAAATTAGGTCCAACTGATCCAGTGATATTGAATAACCCAAATTGACCCATTGACCCACCCAAGATTACTAAAAGTGATCCAGAGTGCCTTTAGATACCTTAAGTGGCACATAGTGACCCAATCGAATTCAGCGATCCGCGTCGACCTATGGTGACCCATATGGTCCTATTGTGCGCAACGATGACCGAATAACCCACTTGGAATTTAATCACTCCAGAATAACCTAAATTGGCCAAAGTGTCCCGTATTAACCCAACGACTAAACATATGCGCGGTTTTCTCGGTGACTCATGTAAGATCAACATTTAATGAGCCAAATTGACCTAGAGTAACCGAGTGATCGAGTGACCAATCCTGTACCAAATTAATCTTAGTGACCCATATTGACGCAAAGTGATCCATATTAACTCCAAGTGACCCAGGCCGGCTACAATTGACATTGACGAATTTAAAGCTTAATTATCCTAGAATGACTTTAAGTGTACTGAAGTAGACTGTTTCTCAAATTGACTGACACATGCAACTTAAAAATTACAATCCCAGAGAGACCCAAGTTTATTTAAATTATCCCTCTGGGTCGCTTTGGGTCACTTGGGCCCAAATTTGAGATTAAGAGAACATTGGCATTCCAGTATTGTCTCAGATTGGCTTGTGAGTCTCAGACAGTCTTGGCTGGAAATGATATCCATGTTGTTTTCCTAAGGCTCCTGGCTTTCGTTAACTCTGTATAACGACTGACAGACAGACTGACTGACTGAGGCTAGTTCTAAGTCCCACAGTAATAGAAAGCTGAAATTTGATAAGTAGTTCTTGGGGTGCTGATTTCAGTAAGAATCCTACTTTTGGGTAACTCCCCCGAGAACACTTTTTTGGGGAGTCGCGAATCAGGAATCCTTTCCACTTGAGCGAAATGATAATTGCATTCGTGTTACAAAAGGTTCTGTACGAAGGAAAATTTTCGATTGTGGAAATTTCCGGAGGAAGTTCCTGATTTTTTCATACAGTGAGTAACGTATGAAGTAGAATATCTTCAGATCAAGAGGACAATCGACCCTAGTTTCCACTTATGACGTAAATTTCCTGTTGGGACTATTCATGTGGGTGATGCGAGGCGCTAGCTAGGGAGTAAAGCCTCAGGCTTTCTGGGGGGGAGAGGACGGTTTCTCTCCCGAATTCACCAGAGCTAATCTAACATCATCTCTCATACATTTTTCTCTCAAGTATCTTGTGAAAGATACCAATGTGATGAGACCTTTTCTCAAGAAAGAATATAAACGTTCCTCATCACCAGTCCCTCATCAAAGTGAGTGTCTTTCGGTAGACATAGAACAATATAGTACTAAAAATTCTGGCTCTTTGGTATTTAGAAATAACGATTTTGATGGATTAATTCAAAAATTTTCCCCAAATCATATTGGGGCACGTAGAAGGATTTAAATCGATACTGTCTGGATTAATTTTCTATAAATGAGTTTCTTCAGTTTTGGCCTGAAGGAATTGAGTATTTTCATGTATTACATGAATGGTTGTTTTTTATTGCATTGAAAAACTTAATTCTCTTTCAAATATGAGCATTTCGAAAAATTTAGGCTAGGTTTTGGGTGAACCACTTCCATCTATTCATATTTACAAGCTGAAATACTTTACAAGGGTGGTTTCACCGGCTTCCTTTGAAAACCATGGATTCACTTTGCTTTACCGATCATAATTAATATCATGCGCGCTACTGAAAGTGGATTTTACTGTGTGACCATACCTTGCTCTGAGGCTATTTATGGGAATGACTCCTCGAATTGTTGGTCAAAAACAATACCCACTTTCAGATGGAAACTTGTTGGTTGATGAGAAATAAAAGCCACAGCTAGGAATGCTGATGACACCATTTGACACTGTTATCACCACTTGGGATTTGTGAGGTGACTGCATCTTTGATTCGCATTCTTCGCTTCACAGTCGGGTCCAGTACCTTTAATACACCCAGCAAAGGCTTACAATGTTTGTTTTATTCATAAGAAATAGCGGCATCATTACATGCAACAAGACGACTGCGGGATAGAGAAACTGGTATCACAGATGACCAGTGGCGGTTCGTGAAATTTAGCGCTAGTGATTCGTCTATGGAGAGGGGGTAGGCAGTGCCCTCCCCTGTCGACATAGACGAACCACTAGCGCTAAATATCACGAACCGCCACTGCAGATGACACATTCAAGAGTGAGGTTGAAGGGAAGGGTCATAGAGGCGAACGATGTGTTGAAGAGATATGGGTAAGCCCGTGCTGGGACAAGTACCATGTTCCTTTACCCTTTCGAAGAGGCAACGATAGCAGTAGACGAGACCGTCAGTTCGGAGGGCGGATGGAATCGACCAAGAACTGGAGCAGAGGGGGCATTTCCCTACCCGTGTCAACATCCCATCCTCATCTTTGTTCATTATATCAGAGGGATGGATGAAACAGGCATCCACAGTGCCACGAAGGGTGTTGGAGGGGGGAAGAACGATAGAATCACGATTACGATACCACCAGTCCAAGAATTGAAGGAGGAGAGCCATGGTTTCCATGCATCGAGATCCCCATCGCCTCAGCAAATTCACTTCTCGCCCCAGTCGTTCTTTCTCCACTTCTTCTGTACTCATATATCGGACGCGAATCCCTTGCATATAGAGCAAGGGGGAATGCACGTTTCCGCCACTCACGTACTGGATGAACCCAATCAGTCGAGATCCTTGTATGAGGACGTGGAGGACGGGGAATAGCTTTAAAAAGAAGCTCTTCCTCCGTCCTCTCTCCGAAGGATCCAGTTGATCATTGTATCGCCTCTCAAGCTTCCCCCATACGTATGGTATGACGGAAAGCGAGACTAGGGACAAAAGCATCCCACGCTTGGACAGAAGGGCTCCCTCTATTCTCGAAACCCTCTTAAGCCCATACACAGATTCGGAGAAACTGGATCCGTGCATCCACAGGTGGTATGACTCCAGAAGGACCTTGAAGAATAGCCATGCCTCCTCCGAATACTCCCGCCATTGAGGTATCAGGTAACGGTAGACATGCAGGAATGCAGGCTGGAGTGTCTTCTCCAAGCTATGCTGACCCAATAAGGAGAAGATGGACGGAATCCTTGGATTTGATGCCTTGGATGCATAATGAAGTAGTGATTCACTACCCATCTACTGTATGATAAGTACGAGGTACAACTTCATGAAAAAGACACGTGGGAATTAGAGGTCAGGAAAACGTCTCTTCCTTCACTCAGATATAAGCTATGGTACTTGGTTACCTCAGATAAGCCGTGAGTCCCACATGCTGTCAAGAAGCATTGCTAAATAGCAACTTTGTGGGGCAAAGGTGTTGAATACAAATCCACACTCAATGGTCAAAGACCACCTGAAGTTGGTATCGTCTAAAAATTTCACAGCTATAGCAACCAATGACCTTTAGACAGTTTTGAATCCTGTAACATACAAAAACACCAGCTTTGCATGTATGAAATAACATGAAAAAGTAAGCCTATCATTGGATTTTATTGTCATATGGGAATCTAAACAAACATCAAAATAGTGTCATGGTAACCCAATGGCATACCCCAGGGGGGGTCATTCATCGGGGCATATACCCTTGGGATACATTTCACAGGTTTGGTTCTCAGCAGAAAATTTTTTTTGACCATATATGCAGAGTGGACTGCCAATTTTTCATCTCAATCCCCCCCTCCCCCCCATTGGGATTTTCTGGGTGTGCTCCTGTGGTAACCAGAATATTATTAAAAGCAGAACTCTTCATTTATCTGGTGGCCGTTTATTTGCAATTCTATATTTGGGTTGATGGGTGGATTTTTCATTTCATTTCAGCAGCAATAACATTAATGACAGGGTTTCAGGGGGTGCCCAGCTCATCCCTAGATGCCAGTATAGTAGTACACTAGTAGTACTCCTCCCCAGTGGTCAATCACTTTTCTCAAAACTGGGCCACCACCTTCCAAAAATTCCTGGGCATACCACTGGAACTCTCACAGATGTGCATATGGAAAGTAACATTTATTTCTAGCACATCACAAAAAAAACATTAACTGTTTTCATTTCAATGCAGTAAATGAAGATTGACAACAGCGAAGCACTTTTACATGTCTTCAATGCTCCACTTGTAAGCCTCTTCTTCCCTTGCTTTGCGATTTGTTTGGGTCTCAAATAAACGTTTCTCAAAGCCATTCGATCGATCAACTCCATCCCACCGATGGCCTGGCCATATCCCAAATCGATTAGGAGGTGGTTCTGGACCACGATAACGTGGCTTCTCTGAAACAAAAAGGCACATCCAAGCATAACATAAAAATTGCTCTGTGTGATATGAACATGAGCTCGTGACAACATCATGGTGATGTTCAGTGAGTGAGAGAATATACAGGGTGTAACAGAAGTTGCATACCATATGCATAAAATTTTCATTCACAATTTTCTGGATGCTTCATTCTGCAACTGTTTGATAAGAGCCTCTGTGCTTTGTGCACATCAAAACTATCAAAACATGTCTTTTGTTAATTTCTTAATCATATTTTCAACATAAAAAGACAATTAATTACAGTATGGTGCACAAATTCTGCTACACCCTGTATGTAGTTCAGTGAAATCAGCATATTGCCATGCCAAAAAATGTGATTAAATGTCATTCTTAGATGCAGGGAGAAAATCACTGATCCTCCACTAATTCAAAAGCCATCAGATTTTCAATCACAATTGGAGCCAGTTGGACTGCACATTACCTGATCCCTGAGAGTTTGACTGAGCCTTCTTTTTACGAATGTAGGCTAGCATTGGATCCCCTGCTCTCTCCTGTGCTCTCAAATGAGCCTCCAAATCAGGGTCATCTGCATAACGGGCCATGGGTTTTGACATCTCATGTAACATCTCTTCTAGTTGTTGTTGCTTCGCCTCCTCTTGTGCAAGTCTAGAGAAATTTAGACAAACATCAAAGTAAAAGTTCACACCTAGGAGTGCCACAGCAGATACACAAAAGTGGGTACCATAACCCAACCAAGCAAGGTTTTCTTCAGATTTCTGCAAAACAGAACAATCTAATGCTATGATAGTTTTTAATACATTCCCTCTAGCAAACAAAGTTACATTGTAGAAAATCTTTCATGGCAGCCCTGAAATGTAATATTATGCTTATTCTGTGAATCTTACTGAACATTTTGGCAGTTAAAATGTGTATGTATCACAAGTACTTTATGATAAATGAATGAATAATGTTTTCTTGCAAAAATGGCTGGGATTCAGTGTTGGGCTAGTGAATGAGACACCAGGAAGAAATGTGTCAACATGGGTTGGTCTATTGGCATACCCAATTCCTTAATTTCTTCCAGAAAAGTTGAAAAGAGTGGCAACTTAGAGATCAAAAGCATGGCACATCTTTTCTTACAGTACATACTTAGAGGAAATCAGTAATATTGAAGCATCTTGTTTTGGCTGTCTTACTCATGCTCTTAGCAATTAACATGGAATGGTGCTACTGTTGACCATTTCAATTTGCTGAACACAATTATTGTCTGGCTGTCAGCAATTAACAAATGGGATACAGGAGCCCTATTATGAGATGTATACTGAGAAAGTTTCCCATGGCAAGTTTTAAAACTCTATTTAAGGAAGTGGGTGCAAAGCTATCTTCCACATTTTTACTATAAACTAAGGAACTCCATAATACACCTGAACAGGGACAGTCTTAGTTCTTTGTTGCCTTGTTTCAGATAAACCTAAACAAGAAAATGTAATTTCATTATGTTATAACTGCTACTGGTTTCCATACCCTTGACCCCACTGCTTATACTTCTTCTCCCTTTCTGCTTTTTTCTGTGCTTCAAGAGCCTCTTTTTCCTGCTCATCCTTGGTTTTCATTTTCATCCTTGTCACTGTCTTGGCAGTTCTCCCAGAGACCTCGTCACTAAGCTTTGAGAAATAAAAGGACATGATGCATTAGGACCAATACAATGTCATTATTTGGGTGAGCGTTGAAGAAAAGGTCCAAACCTCTCTGAAGCGCATGGTTTCTGTTTTCTTAAAAGATTCCAGCTCCCTTGCAAGATCTTCAGCAGACTGTAGGCCAGCTGATTTTCCTTCCAAAGTCTTCTCCAATCTGTGTGCATTCACTTTCCTTTCTGCTTGCCTCTCTGCTCCAGGATCTGAACTCTTCATGGGTTCAAATTTCTCCCTTCTATTGGATGGCTTGGACTGTGCCTTGTTCAAGCTTACCAAGGATGGCAACAGATGTTTGTCTCCCTTCAAAAGAGAATTTCCATCACCACCATCATCACTCTTGGAGTCATGGCTCGTTTTTGTGGACATTTTTCCATGAGAGCCAGAGGGTCGAGGAGGTGAGAGGTCGCTGTCAGAATCATGCCTTCTTTTCCTGGACTCCTTTCCTGACTGTCCAGAGGGTGAGAGGTCACTCTTGGAGTCAAATCTTGTTTTTGTGGACTCTTTTCTACGAGGGCCAGAGGATCGAGGAGGTGAGAGGTCACTGTCAGAATCATGCCTTCTTTTCCTAGACTCCCTTCCTGACTGTCCAGAGGGTGATAGGTCACTCTTGGAGTCAAGTCTTGTTTTTGTGGACTCTTTTCCATGAGGGCCAGAGGATCGAGGTGGTGAGAGGTCACTGTCAGAATCATGCCTTCTTTTCCAGGACTCCTTTCCTGACTGTCCAGAGGGTGAGAGGTCACTCTTGGAGTCAAATCTTGTTTTTGTGGACTCTTTTCCACGAGGGCCAGAGGATCGAGGAGGTGAGAGGTCACTGTCAGGGGGACAAGAGGTGGAGCAATCACTGTCAGACTTTCTGGCCTGGAGATCTCCTCCCATCTTTTTCAAGGAAAATGGATGACTGTTAGGGTCATGCTGCTTTCTGTGACTGCTGGTCCTGTGAAGAAAAACATCACTATCTAAATAATTTATCATTCTTTTGTGCATATCTTCAACAAAATAAAGCAACCTATTTGGCTCAGGTTGATTTGGAGGGAGAACACCACCAGGCTCCTCTTGATTCTCAGTTCTCCATGATCTTTCATTCTTTTTTATTCCTGGAAAAGATAAGCATATACTAGAATCATGCCTCTTCTCAGAATACATATTAGGCCTATATCCAGAAGAGGATGGATCTGGCCAAGATGAAGACATACCACTTTCATTTGAGTCCTGTTTTCTCGCACTCCCAGTCTCCCCAGATAACTGACTCCTCTGCTGTGTTGGTAACAAGCCATGATCTGAGCCATGCATCTTTGGTGTTTCCTGTCCCTTCCTGATCTTGGCATAAGATGAAGGCATGTTGGAATCAGGATACTTCTCCTTGATGTAAGTCTTGGGATCAGAGAGGCAAGATTTGTGTACTTCATTGCACTTCATTGAATGTGATGGATTCTCACTCTCTGAAGGACTGTCACTTGATAACACTTTCCATTTCCCACTATTCTTGAACTGCTCCAGCTGCACTATTTCTTTGGGGCGCTCATCTATCAGAGCAACTACTTGAGGAAGATCATCTGTATATGATTCATCACTATCATCATTTATACGTTTGAGATCTCTCAAGTTCACATCATCATCCACAATCATACACCTGTGAATGCAAATAAATTTGAAATAGTTCTAGTGTCTAGGTATAAAATAGCAGAATAGTAATATGATTAAGTCCATAACTATCAAACTGATCATGTCCTCCTTCATCATCAACACATTTCCTTAAGCAAACAGGTACGTTTCCCACCGTTGATCATAACATGTCAAGGAGTGTTGTTAAGAACATTGTTGATCCTTTCTTCCAGTTCTGTAAGCAGCAAAATTTGCTTCAGGAAAGTTTCATGTATCTAGGTTGTCAGAATAAAAATTGACAGTTGCTCAAAGTGGAGTCAGTTCACAGCCCTATCTTACACCTTGCAACTTCTTTCTGTGGGGCTGGGCTAAAGAAGGAGTTTATCATGCCAAACCCAGAAATCTTAATGAATTGGAAGAAAGAATCAACAATGTTCTTAACAACTTACCTTGACACATGTTATGATTAAGAGTAGGAAACATACCTGTTCACTTAAGGAAATGTGTTGACAATGAAGGAGCACATGTGGAAGTGTGGACAAATAAAACCCCCATTAACTGTTGCATAATTCACAGTTTGTTTCACTAACTTTCATTAAAAAATAAGAGTTATAAGCATTTCAAAATAGGGAGTTACTTATCATACACCCTGTATACATATATGCTCTTTTCTTAATGAGCTATAGATTGTGGAAAGATCTTTTGGGCACAGATCTCACAAGAGCCTAGTTTCTTCATAGCTGTCAGTTAGAGGTTGTTTGCTTTCCTGAGCATTTTCAAATCCTTTTCACTGTACACCATGTACTGGTTGCCTTTTTGCAGCATAAGCGTAAGCTTTCTATAGCTGATAAAATGTGCATTGGTGGTGATTATGAGAGTGACTTAAGCTGTGGCTTCAGTCAATCAACAACCTTTCAGTTATCCTCTTTCATTTTCTTCTAGCTTATTTTAGCTCAAGTGGAATTTCTGAAAAAGATCTTTCTACACTGAAGGTTTGAGCAGGACTGTACCCCTGATGAGGATCCTGCTATTTTTTCAGATCCCAAAGGCTCCTTTCCTTTCATTCTTCTATTTTTAATTCTAGTGCCTTACATTTTGGAGTCTGTTGCTTTGGTTGGCCAGCTATGGGATTGTATCTCTATTCTCCTATATATATAGATAGTAAAAGGAATTACCAATGGTGCCTGTACCAACATGTTAAAAACCGCACCAAAGTAATTTCTGAAGCTGTTTAATACGGCTATTAAGCTTAATAGCTGTCTTTTTTTTTCTTAAACATAGGATTCAACATTATAACATCTGCTGTCTGACGTGGTCAAAGTTCTGACTTTGCACTCAGCAGCTATAGGTATATATCTGGCTTCAGAAATTACTTTGGTGCGGTTTTTAACATGTTGGTACAGGCACCATTGGTAATTCCTTTTACTATCTGTGTACCTTGGTGGGAAGCAGGCAACTGCCCTACCAGATATTCACTTAATAGCTGTCTTTTTATTAAACGTAGGACTCAACATTATATATATATACATACACAATACCATGTAGCCATAGAAGACTCACCTGCTTGCCTTGTTTGGATTTTTTTTGTGGGCCTTCTTTTTCTTCTTCTTGTCAGTTGACTTAAGATACTTCTTCAAATACTCTTTTTGAGATACTACTCCAGCCATCTAAAAATGAAGATTTCCATGAGTCAAATATCATCACTAATCATTGACACTAGTCACAAGAGATAGACCTATGTTTCTCAAGAGATGCATCTCAGAGAGTTGAGTTCAAAGCCATACAATCATATTTCATATGTATTTATCTGGCTTACAGAGGACTTAAAGAGCCATGGTGAGGACATTTCATGCGAAAATGTCATTTGACAGGCAGCATGATTCCATATGGTAAACAGGATATGAATGACCAAACATATAGTACATCATAAATTACATCTAAGGTTTTCCTTTAAATATATTGGCTATTGGCATTACATGTGGAATATAGTGAATAACTATAGGCAATTTCTAGGCTTGCAGATGAACAAGGTTGTCATGTAGGAAGGTCACGTCAGAGTTCATTCTATGAGGCAACCCTATTACCCGATCAGGACAGTCATAAAGGAGCTTATTGGTAAACAATTAGCAAAATATCAACTATGGTAAATATAAGAGAGTCATGTCTTAATAACATTGTCTGTGCTTACCTACCCATGAGCAACCTTCAAATTATGTCTCAGAATACTTTAACCCTTTAAGGAGTGAGTTTTTTTTATGCCTAAAAGATCATCCGTAGTGAATATATGGACGGCAGGAGGATGTCAGCCCATATATATATGGGCATACTCGTCAAAGGGTTAATAGCCAAGTTCCTTTATAATGGTAACTGTATTTTACCAATCAGCATTAACTGATTGGCTGATGTCTGCCTCTATCCTGTTTATTTCTAGGGCATGGTCTTTGAGTGCAGAGAACCAATCAACAGAGGGGTTATTTCAACTTAACATCAGGTCAAAGTCAGAAGGGTTCAGATCAGGTGAGCATATGAGATGTTCAATGACTGCCCAGTCATTTCCTGAAAGAAGTGAAAGTGCAGAGTTTGTGAAGTGTCATGTTGAATTTTCATCAAGCATGATCTTAACCAAACCCTGGAGTAATGGATGATGCTGTCAGATGGCAAGACACAGTTTCCTGGATAGTAATTTTTCGTCACTGCAATGTAATATTGGTAATTCCTGTCAAAGGTAAACGTGTTGCCTCATCCAATAGTATCATCCATGACACCCAGTATGAGGCACCCTCATCCTCCATGAAAATGTGACACATCATTAGATAAATTCTATGGGGATACACCAAGAAGGATTTGACCATGTAGTCATTGGACATCCCTCATACTTTGATCCTTTATAACTGATTTCACAGCTCAAAGAATTCCAAGACATCATTTCTGGTCACTCAATGACCTCATGATCAAATCAATAGATCTGCAAGTCCTGATGGCATAATATGACTGCCATACTGGAGGAACAATCATGGATCTTTGGGAAGAGTAACTTAAACCCTATATAGTCTACTTCTTGTACAGATTGCTACTAATGATGTTGTACATCAACAAGCATCCATGTACAATATAATTGGTATGATAAAAAATTAGTTCCAATGAACTGAGATAACCCTAGTATATCACGTATGTTGCCAAATTACTCAATCTGTGAGTTGTGACCACAAGGGGAAGGGGTTGTCAGGAGATCACAGGGAGATCTGGAAAATGCAAATCACACTTCTTTCACTGACCTCACAAAGCACTTTCACAATCTTCCCAAGAATTTCTGTTTTTATACAAATACAGCCAAAAGGAAATTTCAAAGAGGGAAAAACCGAGGATGCAGGTCATTAGGGCTTACTTAGTAGAAACTCAGGTAAAAGTATGATTATTAATACTACAGAGCTCACCAGAGTAGTGACTTATATTTTTGCTAGTTTTAAAAATCAATGCTAAAAGACATATGAATGTGCCTCTATCTTTGTTATCCTACAAGTACAGCAAACACACCAACCCTTTCCTTAACACATTCGCTGCTGTATATGGCTATAGCCATTTTCATGGCTACTTAATAGTTACATATATTTCTTCAAGATATGTCGTTCAAATGCCTCACAAGCTACAAGGATTGCATACAAAATAATACACCCTTAAACATTACTAAAGATATGTTGAGATTTTCATTCACTTAAATACCAGGCAGTGAAAGTGTTAAATAACTCCAAAAAAGGCAAACACATAGATTTTACTTTCGTACCAGCATTAAGAGGACATCTAGGAGTTTTTGCTTAACACTAAGAATCCTGCACTTTTTTGGTTGGTTTGCTCCCATACTCAATCTTCATTTGCATTATTACTAAAGTTAGGCGCTTTAGGAATAAATTTTTCTCCAAAGTCCTACAATCGTGTCCGACCACTGACAAGGAAAAGGTTAGTATACCTCGCTTAGGATTTCATGACGAAACGACCGAAAAATGAACAGGACGCTGCCATCACAACTCGCTGTTGTTGAGAAGGGATTCTATCTGCTCCCTGAGCGCTACGTTCCTGAATGCATTGTGGTCCCGTTTTCTGCTGAGTATTTTTTATTCTATATTATGAATATATTGCCTGTCGCGGCGGAAGCGGAGGGATTGCTTCTCATAAAAAATAATTCGTAGCGAAAAATGCGCAAGCGGAAAAGGGATCATGACAACCCTGCAACCATCGCGTTCACCGCTTTTGCCCAGTTGTCCCCAGATTTGAATCGTGTGAGCTTGAGGAGGTTGTTCCTGACGTAATTGACGTGCTGTTGGTGCTCTGGGTTTTTCGTTCATTCTGCGATCTTATTCTATTTTTAGCTCTCGTCCATAACTGGTAGACCTGGGATATGCCTAAGCCCGCCACAGGCCACCTGCATAATTTGCTGATTTGTACTTCGTCAACTCTATCGCGTGTTGAAGGTTCGGCGAGCAGCGAAGCAGAACAGACATGGAGGAGTGGGAAACTAGCAAGGAAAACATTCAACCTCTTAGGCGTGGCAGAGACATCAATGCCCTTACCGAAACCATCCAGTCCTCTAACCCCGCTATAATGGAGCAACGCCAACAGTGAGTTGTTTGTACAAGAACTTTGCCTTGGGTAGGTCTAACGTTAGACCGCACCTTCAAGAGTCCTAAACCTGCAATTCACTATGGCTTTCAGTTAGGCTAATTGAGGACTATTATGCTATCATCGAACTGAGTGTACTTTTTCCAACTCCCAAATTTCACTTTTCTAATTTCATTCATCCATGAATGAAGTTTACCCCCCAAGCTGTATTCTTATCCTGCTTTTTTTTTAAATTGTAGAAAGTTGTTTCACTCTTAATGCTGAAAAACTCTCTGCACCTTGGATCTTCAAGGTGTTTTACTTATATTGGACTCTGGCAGAAGTAGTGACTTTGACCATGCACAATCTTAACCCTTTAATGCATGATGTAGCGGATATACTATATTCCCCCCAAAAAATTTTTGAATGTGTAGATAGCAAGCTCCTGAGGTAAATTGGTTTGTAGCAGATGTGCAACAGCCCTGTCTTTGTACTGAGCAACCATGTGGTCATTAGGTGTCATACACTCCCAGTGGCAAGCAGATTATAAACACATGGCTTTGTCATGTGACAGACTGTCATTTTTGGTGAAATTATTTTCAACTTTACACTAATCCAGGATCCAGATTGATCTATATTTTTAGGTTTTCTTTTGTGTTGTGGTATGTATGAATATTGATGGACTGACTGAGCTCTCTAGCATCCATGCAGTGTAGGTTAGAAAGCTGAAAATGCTGTTTGTAGCAAATGAGCAACAATACAAATTTGAGGAAATAAAATGTTTTCCACTTCCCTTGGTCTAACGTCACCAACATTGTAGTCGCCACTAGATTGCTAGTTCAGTCATTTTCTCCATACTATGGCAATGGAGCTTTATTCCAATCATGGCCACTTTGGCTTTACATGTGACATGCATGAATTGACCATCATTCCGCGCGTACACACGAGTACAGAGCAGCTGTTTTTTCTCTTACATCTATGGATGACAACTTCCAAGCAGGGATCCTTTGTATTTGCCATTCATGTTGCTTCTGTATGCAGGTCTTAATGCCTTGTGCTAGCCGAGCGTGAGGCACGCTGGTTTGATGTGAACCTCATTCCAATTAGCCTAGGGAGTGAATGCAGTGAGGTGGGATGGTCCCACATTCAGAACAGTAATAACACAAGTGATGCTGTGCATTGTGAGTTTGCCAGCCTTCAAGCTCCCAAGGGGAGGTCAACAGAGAGTTGTGAAGTATTGATGGCAACTTTGGGATACATGGTAACTACAGTGTTGGTGTTAGGATGTAAGTAAAACCTACCTTTTTTTTATGAAAAATAAAAAATCATGCATTAAAGGGTTAATACAAAGTCATTAGATTATGTGATTCATGCACTGATTCCTCTTTTATTTTGGTTTATTTTTTTTAATTTGGCTTCTAGAGTTCAAATTTTTAAAGAACCAAACATAAGTAGACCTTGTTCTTTTCTAAATTATGTAAGGAATTACACTTTTCATTTTCAGTACCATGATTCTTACATAGAAAATGGAGTGACATTTTTTCACCCACCTATTCAAAATCTTGTATCTCTAAGACCTTTACATAGGACTAAAAGCCAAAGACTTATAGTCCTATAAAATTGTATGCTCAACTGGGAATTGACTGTATTGTCCTTTTCTACTTAGTGAATTTGAAATGGAGTTGAGAAGCTACAAGGGTGAGGATCCCTTGAAGATATGGTTTGACTATGTGCATTGGGTGGAGCAGCACTTTCCACGTGGTGGTCATGATGGTCATCTGATTCCATTGGTCAAAAAATGCATTGGAACCTTCAAAGAAAATATTCAGTATAGGAATGATCAAAGATTTCTGGAGATTTGCTCAAAGCTTGTGAGTTCATTCTTCTGCAGCTTCTTTTGATAGGACCAATTGTGAAGTCACAGTATAGGTCAGTCCTGTCACCATGCCTCTCGAGCTTATTCCACGTGGGTATAACCTTGAGAGAGGTATTAGCTGCCAGTTCGATAGTTTATTGGCATTTTTGATAATTCAGGCAAAGATTTTATTATAGCAAACTCTTCCTACTGTTATTAAGGGTAATGGCTTATTTTTTGTACTATCATTCTGCCTTGTCACATTTTCCTTTTTTACCTTTTTAGAGTGTAGAATTGGGAAAATGATAGTCATGTGCTTTGAATGAAACTCCTTCAAATGTTTCTGGTGGAATTGCTTAGCCAATAAATGCAGTTTTTATTCAGTTGAGACATTGACATGATACAGTTGTAGGCCTGGTTATGTGGGGGCTTACTATATGGACTGGGGAATGCACACAGGCATTATTTAAGCATGTTGGATACTTATTTGTCTACAATGAAGTAATTAATATTTCTCACTCTGTTAAACATAGCAGGATAAGGGATCAAGAAGAATTGTTGATATCATGTGCACCCATCCAAATCAGTCCAATACTCATGGCACTTCTACTTTTTTCAGGAATCATGAGGCTCATTAGGAATTTGTTGTGTGGACTTTGGTTTTGGTCTTGTTAAACTGTATACATTTAGTGATATATACACTGTCCCAAAAAATTTTGGAACCATTTTCAATTTTAGCCAATTGTAATTCATTTATTTTGCCTTTAGCTGTGCATCTTTGTGGGCTGACTAATGCATCAAATGAGTACATGCTTGCAAAGTTCTAACAATATCCATTCACTGGCTCTTGAAATACAGGAGGTGATGCAGAGCATGCCTGCACTATGGGAGTGCTACCAGAACTGTATGGGCGTGTTTGTCCAAATTCAGTATTGTGCCTCATACATGATGGCTGACATGATGTGCACGACCAAGATAATCTGCATTAATCTTTCCTGTTTGACACTCAGATGAGGTGCTCAAAATGCTGTCATTCTGTGAACAGGCATGTGACATTGATTGAAACCCAAATGCTGCATGTTTCACATTCTTCTACGAAGGGGGAACAATGAGTTCCCTCTCTGGCTGGCTGTGCTCATGTCAAGTGTGGCCAGTGGCAATGGTTCAGCACAACCTTTGGATAAGCTGCTGCATCTCCTAAATGAATCAATGGATATTGATACAACCTTGTATGCATGTGCTCATTTGATGTCTTAGTCAGCCCTCAAAAGTGTACAATGATAGTCTGAATCAATTACAAGAAGCTACAAATTGAAAAAGGTGCCCAAATTTTTTGGGACAATGTGTGGAGATGGGTGAGAGAGGGGTGTTGTTTGTTCTCAGATCATGAAAGAATGTAACTTCCATCAATCTGAGGCCATGATACCTGGAGCCATACTCCAGACAGCAGCCATTTGCAGACTGCATATTACGTAGTGCCTTTACCCTGTGTAGTACATGTGCATATGTATATATATTTCTCTCCTGCACAGGGATACTCATGGGATCCACTGGAATTATATGAATACCTTTATAGTCAGCAAATTGGAACCATGCTTTCCTCCTTCTATCAAGACTGGTCTTGGGAACATGAGAAAGTTGGAGATTTCCATAAGGCAATACAAATCTTAGCTCTTGGTGTGCAAAACCATGCCCAGCCAATGGAGGACCTTGCTTCTTACCAGGTGTAAGTTTGAAAGCCATTGCAGAATTTGAAGGGACTCAGAACCATGCAGGAATGTAGTTATTAATTGCAATTCATTTTCCATTTCCAACAGTTCCATTGCTATTTATTTTACATGAAAAATTTTTAATCACCATTATTAAACTTAGTCTACATTAGAACACAACTTTGATCTTTAACACTAGTCATGCATATATATGTATATATAAAGGCCTTAAGCATTTAAATTCATAACATGCATATTTCTCACTTGAACTGGACTTGAATGGGCATTATACACATGTATCAAGCAATATAATACATCTTCAAGCCTGAAAAGGGATAGCTCATATGATCACTATCAATAATTGAGCATTTAGGCATCAGCTGAATTTTGACTGCACATTAGTGGAAATCTAAGTAGCAGTGCTCCTGTTTTCAAAGCTTCAGATATCAAGAGTTTGTCAAATAATTTTTCCTGACCAGAAGAACTGCAAGATTAAGGGAATTTAGGTAGTAAGATTGGATCAACCTTGCTGCTGAGTTTGTGCCTGCATCCAGCTGACTGTCTAAATTAGTTTCAGGAAGCAGCCATTCAATTTTGTGGTAGCTGAACATATAAGTGTCTGATTATTCTTACTAATTGAGTTGATTGACTAGTCCCTCGAGTCTTGGTGATGTCAAATACTTTTTTTTTCCCGAAATCATTCAAGGAAATTCCTGGCATCCTATACAATACCTGGCTCCCCTGTGGTAGTATGGAGCCATTGAGTTCAATAGGATGAATGAAAGCCTCTTCTCGAGGAAGAGGTTCATCCTTGGGCTGTTAGGACAACAGTTTTGGAAATATCAGAACTGCAACGAACTATCCATGGTGCATTAACCCTTTGAGTTTTTTTCACATTTTTAGGAATTTTGAGCTGCGGATGTGTCAGCATATCAACGAACTGAGGAATTTCTCAGAAGAAGATTATGCATCACAGACACGTATCTCATTGGGTCGACTTCATTCTTTTGGAAAACATGCTCCCATCATCCGAGTGGGACCTGATGTTCAGGCTGGTCCCCCTGGAGCAACATCATCAGCATCCCTTCAGCTGCATAGACAATCACAGATTCCAGTATTTCGTGTGAGTTGAGCGGCCAAAAAAAGAATGGCCTGGAAGCTATTGTGCTTATAAACTGGTTAAAATAACAGCATTTGGTATGATAACTTAGGTGGCACTTTCAACCCTTGCTGTAAAAAAAAATTCAAAATTATTCATGATTGTCCCAGCTACTTCTCTGTTGATTTGTCAACAGATGTGTGGGATGTGAGCTGGATGGTGTTTGGCAAATTTTTGCATTAAGATTCATTTTCTAGTTTAATTTTCCTTCAGCATAATATCCCTTTCAATTTTATAGGATGAGAATGGTGAGCAAAAAGCTTTTCCTGCAGGACAGAAAGAATTGCTCCCTCTGCCTTCAAAGAAGACCAACAAGGAGAACAGTCAGGATCCAGGTGTATGGACCACAGTTAGAGCTCCCAGCAAAGAAGTTCCAAAAGTCCGTCTTGATCAGGTTGACAAACATTTTACTCATTTTCAAGGTGAGTATATCTTTCTTCCTGATTGTCATCTCTTTTATCAGGGTTCCCTACAAAGGGTGCTAGGGTGTGTGCAAGCCTGACGCCTTTTTTATTTTATCCTAATACTTTTTCCCTTGGGATATTAAAGCTATAAATATAACCCCCTGGCTTCCCCTTTGCCTGGTCCTCCTATTACCATATGTATCAGTCTCAAATTTAGCTGTTCTTGTAGAGCTTGTGTACATCCATCCCCCCCCCCTACATGCTGCTGCTGCTCTAACCTCCTGCTCTCCTCTCCTGTGTATATTTTCAACACTGGCTTGCCTGCATCTCTGTGGGGAACCTAGCTGGCTTTCTGAAAGGAGCAGGAACCTCAATTTCTTCATTAATGTATGATTTATTCTTTGCTAGTCCATGAAGATGCAGATGCAATCCTAGAAACAAAAGATGTTGGAGAAAAGCTTGATTTGAATGGAGGTCTGACTGTGCATCAGGAGGGTGACCAGTCTCCCAAGCGATTAGAGAGAGATCTACAATCTAGTACCTTTCCTCAACTTCCTCCCAATCAGAAGCTCATGGTTCCAAAACTCCTGTTTCTTGGAGCTAGGGAATCAAGTTTGGAGGAGCTGCGAGCCATTCACTGTCATAGCAAAGCTCAGACTTGCATTGTTAAAACAAGTGAGTTTTGTAGTTGTAGCCTGTTGGGTAAGAAGTGTGCACCTGCTAATATTCCTCAAGCTGATGCACCTTTCTGGATGAAAATTATAGTAATGCAATTTTCTGATTATGTAAAGTGTTACCACATAAAATTTTGAATATGCTTTTGCAAATTTTTTTCCCCAGGAATTGAAAAAGTTCAACATGAGGGAGACATCTTGGGACCCTTGCCTTATGAGGATGACCCACAAATATATGGCAGTAAGGATGTGAAATTCATGGTAGCTTTTCAAAAGGTCTACCCTCCTGAGCTCCTTAGGCTCCTGCCTCAAGAATGCCAAAGCCTCAGGAGAGGCAGAGAAAGGAGCTTTGAAGAAATCCGAGCAAAAGCATACCTGAGTGGCCAGTGTATGTATTATGTACCTTGTGTTGCTATATGCAGTCAGCGATGTGGGATTCCTGTGCTTAAAAGATGTACCCCTTGCTGGATAGGTAACTGAATTTCTGTTTTGAGAGTTTATTGTTGGATCTCATTTCAGATATGAAGCCCTCTGAAGTGGAGGAATCTCTGCCATACATCCCAAACCCAGATTCACCTAATCCTAAGAGAAGGTACATGTTCCACAGGGAGGCAATATATCCTGCTGAAGTGCCTCCTGGTGCTGCCAGGGAATTCCTTTTTGAAGAATTACGTGCTGAATATTATTTATCACATGCTCACCCCAGAAACTCTTGTGAGTGTGAACTCTTTTCTCCATCTGGTACTACTTGGTGGGAAAATTAAATAATGTATTGCATATGCTCACAGGCTGGCAGGCACCAAGCATTGTGAAACAGAATATTGTAGACCATCATACCCATGATACTGATATGCAGCCAGGACCAGGAATGAGGTTCATGTTCAATGTCCATGGCTCAAGGGTCAAGTCTCTACCACATTCAAGGTCCCATGTTGGAGAATTCTCCTTTGAAGAAATTAGAGCTTTTGATCATCTCTATTGTTGCTGTGGTATGATGCTTCTTATCTTGGATTATAGACATTGTAGTCTGGATATGTATATGCACCCTTCTTTGCAGAGCCAGTGAAACATTCTGGAGAAACTAGAGGATTTGAGAATCTCCATCATGATAAGGAGAGATATATTGTTGAGGAGGAGGAAGTGATAGTGTCTAAAGTTTGTAGGAGTTTTACTCCTGCATCATCAACTGAAAAGATTTCGGGCATGGGTCTGAGTGATGATGAGATCTCAGAAAAGGAAAGTTCTACTACTCATCATTCCTCATCCAAAAGCCCTCGTGGAGACTCAATTTCTGGATCCAAGACTCCCAATGCCACCTTTAATTGCACTGAAACAACTAGGGTGAGCAGACTGATACCACCCACTGTGTCAAGGTGCAGAGGCATCCTAAGGATGATCCAATGGGGACAAAGAAAATGTTCTTTATATGACTTACAGGGATACCTTAGGGTCATGGAAACTTCTAGATGAGGTGTTGCTTCATTGTCTGTCTCTCATTGAAAAGGATCCAATTGAGATATTTCCAGACTTAATGTTGTCTTAATGAGATATCTTTACTCCAAGAGAAATCTGAAAGACATCTTAGTCTTTCAGATTTCTCATGGAGACCCTGGGACAAGTTGTCTGATTGGGGGCATCCCTGGGATGGCTCCCTGCTCTCTGGCTCTTAAATATATCAGCTAGGATTTGTTTGCTGCTGTCATTAACCTTGTGCTGTGTCTGTTATCAGGAAGCATTGAAGGCTATGAGTGATATCTGGTGGCATAATTCCATTTCTTCCATGAATACCAACCCTAGTACAGGTAAGTCTTGTTTGGTAACTGGTAGATCTAAATTTTCTTGACCTTAATCACTGATGCAATTTTATATGCACAGGAATAGAAGTCTCAACTAGGATACAGGATGATGCAGAGGAAGGGAAAACAAATGTACAGTTCCAGATCTACAGGGATCAAAGCATTTGTCATGTTGAGGAACATGTACAAGAGGTTCATCCTAAGCCAGCAATCCAGATCCACAAAGATCCAAGCATATGTGATGGTGAAAATGAAAATGCAAAGGAATCCCATCATGTTCCTGAGATTATCGTTCACTCAATTGCTGGAGTTGCTCTTGCAGAACCCTTTCGAATCTATATGGATGAGTCTCCAAAGCAGAGCTTTACAAGACAAGTTGATAATGATGGTGAGAACCAGGACAGAGCTCATCCTAAAAATGATGAAGCTTGCTGGAAGCAATGGGATCAAGAAAACCAGCCTTTGAACCTCCTGCTTCAAGAATACCTTGATGATGAAGAGGAGACCCCATTCAAAGAGAATGAACCTCCAAGAGAATACATGCCTGGAGAGAAAAGAAACCCTCAGGGTATCTTAGTTCCTGCTGCTGATGTCCCTGTTCTTCCAATTGATGAGCAGGAAGCTCAGGTATATTGCATCATCTTTATATATACCAATGTGAACTACCTTCTGAGAACATTATTGTAAAGAAGATAGATGAATATTGCAATATGGAGCAGATTCACAAAGATACCATGGTTTTTATGTTGCTAGTCACCCTATCATGTCACCCACAGGGGTGACCTAATCCTTATATATACAGGATGGATGCTAACTATGTATGTTACATGGATTAAGTATGGAATATCAGGGACCATGGTTATTCAGGGTACTTTATTATGTACACAATGTGCATTTCCTGTTTTTAACATTCATTGTATGTATGTTAGATATATCTAATGCTATACATGTGTCACATCATCAAGCCCTTCTGGCCATTGGGCAGGCTTCTAACCCAGACAAGTGATGTAATAGTTGTGATGTAATAGTTGGTGCATGCTCCTCTACAGTCATTTCATTTTTTCCAGGCTCTGCTTTGTTATAAATATTTGTTTTACACAGTGGACATTGCTGATACTCTGAGATCTGCAGACAAGTTTGTTTCTTGTTGGCATGGTTCTTAGAAACTTGAGGGATCACTTGGATATACAGTCAATGCTCGATGTGACAAATCTGTATATAATTCATTTTCATTGTAACAGTTTTTTAGCCAGTCCCTTCGAGTTTGTTATATCCAGTGTTGACTGTACATATCTCTCATTCAAAATCATATTTCTACAGAAGTACTTACAATGCCACATCTTTATTTTGAGGGGAGAATCATATTGGATGCAAACATTGTAGAAAAAAGCATGTAAAAATTGCAAACCATCACAAAACTTGCAAGTATTTTATGTTGAAAAAGAGTGAAAATTGATAAATATGTACAGTGAATTTCACTCTCATGTTTTTTTTTATTGTTGTAGAGCAAAATATAGCAAAGATATAAACATTTTCATAATATACAATGCATTGGAATTTAAAAGGGCAGAATTAAATTCCAGCTGTGAGGAGACCAAAGTATTTTTAAAACCTGTACAATAAAGGTCAAGGTTGAAAACTATTTAATGGGCCCTTTTGAACAGTGTTTTATGCATCAAATTTAGTATGATTCCTTTTTTGTAATTTATATGCATACTTGACTTCCAGGGATGTAAAAAGGAGTCACAATTGATGGGAATAGAGAGAAATTATGCAATATTGACTGTGGATTAATTGAATTAGGTTCTCAATCTAAACGTTATTGATGCTTGCATTCAGCTTAAGACATGCAGCGTCCCTGATAGCAGATTTTCTGCCAAAAGATTTATGCTTTTTTTCTCTTGCAGGAAATAGAAAAGAATGAAGAAAATGAGAAGCCAGAGAAACTCTACTTTAAGGAAGCAAATGAAGAAGAGAGAACAGGGAGGAACTTCTTGGAGGATGAGCCAACCACAGTGATAGCTTCTCATCCAGAACTGTTTAAGAAAGGCTTGACCAAGGCTTTCTCCAAATCCACTCCTCTTCACAACAAGAGACGAATCCTTGATGAGGAAGATGCTGGTCAGGAGGAATGCACAATGAAGCTCTTCCTTCTTCCTAGGTCACCAATCAATATCTTCCTAAGTCATTTGTGTTTCTGTGAGTATAAGTTATAAAGATGATCCATCCTTCATTGTTACAGTTTCAAGGTTCAAGGTCAAAATGATGATGATGATGAGGTGAACAGAGGTGAGATAAAAGAGAATGAAGGACTGAAAGGATCAGACCCTCCTCATGTTCTTACATCTAATCCAGTCAAGAGGATGAGTCGGAGGTTTGATGCTGCTGGAGCTTTTTCAAACCTCTCTGTGATCAAGGAAGTCACCACAAGTTCAAGCAGTTCAGGTTTTTCTCGCACTGACTTAGCTGTTTCATCATGCATCAGTCCCTTGTCAGCAAAGAAGCCTCAGACACCAACAGCTGAAGATGGCCCTGATAATCAAGGGGGAATGGGGAAGTCATTTGGGCAGACCTCAAGAAACCCAGCTTTGAGCATGGGTAACACCAAATCTGGATATCTGGCTGATGGAGAGATTTCAGTCCTGGAACCAGAGGAGAATCTGTATGAAACCTTTCATGGAGAAAGAGAAGAAAACATCCCTCCTCAAGTTGATCCATTTGATTCCAAAGAGATTGAAAGATTTCTCCAGAGTATCAAGCCCCCATTGGAAAGTCGTCCTTTTGTTGAGATTTTACCTGGCAAGATTTCAAAACGGATCAAAGTCAACTCTCTTGTCACTCTAGGTAACAGGAAGACAATTTTGATTTGACAGTTCATTTAATGAGGTAGACTTCTCATACACTCTATAATTTCAAAGCAGGCCAGGAGAAGTATAGGATCAAAGGATGCTGTGGGGAAGGTGCATATGCTAAAGTGTATCATGCTGAGAGGGAGGACTTAGATGACATGTCAGATATGACTATTGTCGGTCTTGATGCTGAAGTGGCTTTGAAGCTCCAAACACCACCCTGTCCTTGGGAAGTGTATATATGTACTGAACTTCATTCTCGTCTGAAGAATCTCAATACTGATTACTGCATGGTGAGTTTCAGATTCTAACATATGGTGGTGCTAGACTTGATATGACCTATGCAATTGACTGACTCTTTCTCATGCAGAGGAGTGGAGTGATGAAATGTCATCAGTGTTACATGATGGAAGATGGGAGCATCTTGGTTTCTAAGTTTGCTCCTCTGGGAACACTTCTGACAGCAATCAATGCCTACAATTCTGCTCACAAAAGCATGCCTGAGTGCCTTGTTGCTTACTTCACCTACGAACTCCTTCACATCATGGAACAAATGCATTCTTGCAAAATACTCCATGCTGATGTTAAGCCTGACAACTTCCTCCTTCAGAGTCTGTGAGTATGGTACTTTGAAGTACTAATTGAAAGGAAGCATCCAACAAATATTGCATGAAGTCTGTTATTTTTAGGCCACACATTGGAAGTGAAATGGGGAACAATCAGGCTGTCTTTGGGAATAAATGTCAGAGCTTGCAGCTTATTGACTTTGGTCGTAGCATTGACATGAACCTCTTCCCTGATGGCACCACATTCTCAGTCTCCTTCACCAAAAAAACATTCCAGTGCATTGAAATGCGAACTCAACGTCCCTGGACATACCAGGTGAGAGCTATGAGAATGCTTGGGAAAGGGATTCTACCTCATGAATTGAGAATGATTCTTAATGTTGTCACGGTGATCACGTTTCCTTTGCAGTTGGATTTGTATGGATTGGCTGGCACAATATATTGCATGATTAAGGGCAGTTACATGGAGGTGACTCAGTCTTCTGGACAATGGATTCCAATGTCCTTCACTATGAGCAGGTGAGTAACACCATCTGATATCCATCACTTTCCATTCATAAATAGGCATATCAAGGCAATCCTCCATTGTGAAGGATTTTCTAGAGTAAGTGTATATGTTTCAATTCAGGTCTTTAAAGTATTGCTTACTGAATCCTGCCTTATTTTTCCCTTCTGTAGGCCCTTTCATATTGCTTGCAGGTGGGAGGCATATACTCTATATAAATTTGAAAGGGCTTTTGAGTAATGTAATATTGGGATATGATTCAAAGTTAGAGAATTTATATGAATTCAGGAATTGGATCCTCTGGGTAGATTCATGAGTTTGTTCTACACTGTGATTCATAAAATTTCGATCCCCTAAATATTTTATTAGAACTCCTATATTTATTAGGCCACTTACATGAAATTATGAATGATCGTAATTCAAAAACAAATAATCATAATGGTAGTCACAACTTGTATTCAAAATGTCTGCTTCAGCTGTAAGGCATGCAGAAAGATGCATGCCAATGATACACCAAGGCATTGATAATTGATGATCCATTTTATCCCAGGCTTGCAGGATACGCTGGCATAGGTCTTCAACATCAGTGGACATTTTGAATACAAGCTGTTACTATCATGATAATTTGTTTTTGAACTACAATCGTTCATAATTTCATGTAAATGGACTAATTTAAATACAAGAGTTTTAATAAAATATTTAGGGGGTCATGATGTCATGAATTGCAGTGTAGATATCTCACCATACATTTTTGAGGAGCATGCTGATGTAATAGCTCCCTTCTTAATTGCATTATGTGCATAAGCTTATTGTGAATGGAAAAAGTGGGAGGCAGAGGTACTCTGGAATACTGTTATCCATTTCATGAGTCTTTTTCTTCTTTTCTTGAAAAGTCTCAAAAAAGTGCAAATGCCCTCATGCTATGCTGCTTCATGTTGCTATATCTTATATCTGTGGTTCCCAACCTTTGGATCATGACACTCCTGGATCTGATCCAGGTGAAGCTATGGTTTGTGTTGCCTAGGTTGCATTATGCAAAAAATAACATTCACTGTTGTACATAGGTGACAGAAATGAATTAAAGTAGAAAACCACTAACTACCTCCCTGTCAAAAAGATTAGAAACTGCTGCTTTAAGATTGAAAGCTAGCAAATATCCCATGCTGCACCAAAATACTATTCCCATATAGCCAAACATCATAAGCCAACTATGGTATATCATTGGCAACCCCACCCCAATATTGAATCTATATTGATTGCCAATGCTGACGATGTTGCCATACAAGGGCCATTGTTGGGCCAAGCTTTATTGGTAATCTGAGTTGGAAATACACTTTTACTTCCTAAATTATTTTGCCTCAACTCTACAAATGCCACTTAATCTTTCAGGAGTTGGGATAGGTCTCTCAATAATAATTATATAGGCTTATGACTCTAACATCTGCTACATGCTTTTGAATTATGAATATGTTGAGAAAAAATCATGTACAATGCTGAAAGCCTAGTATGGATCCTGTCCATGGAACCAAGTCCACAGAGCATCTTGAAGGTAAATTCTCTCTACTGGTTGTTCATATGAAGACATGCCAATGCATGCATAATCTCTTCATTGAACAGTTTGTATATACCTCCTGTTTGTGTAAAGGGGTTAAGTGAAAGGGTCTGACTATGATGTTACTCTTGGCTCATTAGATTTGTGAAGATGAGAAAATGGAGCTTGATTCTGTGGATAAAGGAAATGAACAAGAAATTCCTGATTGTCTTTATATATCTCAAGAACATTTCCAAAGAACCATTGTCACACCCTCTGATGCTAGAATATATCTCCACTGGAGTGCATTTTTCTCCATCTGGTTCCTTCTAAAAAGTAGATCCCTTTCCACAAGGGTGGTGTCCACACTTTTCAGTGTTCTATGGCCACAAGTCCAGTAAATGCATGTATTCTTCAAGGAAACACATATTTTCAAGAATCACATATTCCTTAACACTTTTGATTACCCTTTTAAATAACAGTTAGGTAGCAAATGTCGAGTCTTTGGTAATAATAAAAAATAAAGCTTGAAAAATAGAAATAGAATAGAAAAAAAAAACATTTTTAATGGAAAAACTACATACTTTTTTGTGGTGCTCAGCGTTGTCAGCTATCAATTTCCAAGTGGAAGCCCCAGCATGTTTGGGAAGGGATTATCCCATATCCTTTAACAGGAATGCCAAGCACTTAAGATACAGGAATAGCTGTCTTTTCTACTATTCATCCATATCTTTTCAAACTCTAAGGAGTTGTTTTTGATAATGTGAGGTCAAAGGTCATCAACATAACCTCCTTACCAAATGATAACTTTCAGTATTTACCAAATATGAATCAATTCTAATGGAAAGGGTTGGAAAATAACTAAAAAATGAGTCTAAGATGAGCTCACAACTTAATTAGGGCAGAAATTTCAAGGAGGGGACTCCATCAGGGTACGGGAATGAGGCATTTCAGCCTCTTGTGACCTCATAACCAGCTGAACCAGGGGTCCAAAGAACCAAATATTTGGTGTGGGTTAATCTCATGTGGTTGTTGATAGGTACACCAAATTTTATTCAAATTAGAAGGGGTCACCTGAAAAATGTCCCAAGTGTGCTGATTTGACACAGAATGACATGCGCAGTGGAATCAGTCCTTTTTTTCATTATGGAAATATGAACTTTACATGTGGCATGGAGAAAACCTAAATTCCTGATGTGGCATGTTTGCAGCACTCAAAGGATAGCTAGTACATGCTAATAATGTTCAGGTGGTATAGACTTATTCAGCAAAAGATAGATACAATGGCATCACAACTACTACAATGTGGGCAAGCCCTAAATTACCTTGTAACATTTCTTTAGGATTCTAGTATAGTATGGCATGCCTCACATGATATTGATTCTTAAGGTAGCAATACCCCATAAAAAATTGTTTTCTAAATAAAAAAAATCGTTTTCACAAAAATTGGCTCAAACAAAACTTCAGACACTTAAGATTGCTTTTCTGTAGGAAAAAATAATGGAACTAAAGTAATTAGGTGTAATTTAAACTAGTGTAGTATTGTCTCCATTACAGCTCCTCAGCACTGACTTTGGTCCTTGGATATCATGTGTTACAAAAGAGGAAAAATGAAAATTCCAACACTGTAAATTTTGTAGAAATCTATAGTTCACTCTGGATTCCACCCCTAAGTGCCTCATTCCACGGAGTTGGTAGGTTCCATTGTTTTCGATGACCTTTGTGGATGGCTCATAGGGCACTAATTCACTTTTGTTGATTTCCTGAAAACCCATTTTCACCATAAGTACAAGGCTCTTGAGCATATCCATATTATTTTTTGCACTTATCATTCCACGACCACAGATTCAAGGAAATTGAGAGCATTTCCTGATATTGGGGATGGGATTTGGATAATTGGTGTATTAATATGTAATTAGCAGGTCAAAATGGAGGAAAATATTCTTTTGGTCAAATATTTTTCTTCTGAGGGAATCCCATCAAATTGCTCTATCATTCCAAGCTTCATGCTATCATTTATAATGAGTGTGCAATTCATCCATTTATTTTCAATATTTCACTATATGTTTTAATATATAGTGTTTTGGTGCTTGAAATGTCACTGCTTCTTTCACTCATGGCTGCCTAATTATCATAATTTATGCAAATTATACATGAAATAGTTTCTCGAGGCCGCCAACCTGATATACAGAATTGATTTACAACACTGGAACTTGCCAAATTGGTTTTAAAAGGGTATTACTACCTTAAACTGGGCACTTTCTGCAACAATACAATGTAACAGTGGCATGTTCTTTGTAGATTTTCTCCTTCTGCCCCATTGTGTATTTTTGAATGTGAATGACATTACTCATTGTTTGGTAACCTGCAAGTCCTGAAAATATCAGAGATCATCTTCTGAAATTACACAAATATGCCAGCAAATGGCAGCCTGGAACATGCCCTTGATCAGCAAATCCTAGCAGCTAGATTTGTAGACAGGTTCATTATGATGAATATCCTTCACACTATGCCTGGCTAGGATACTATGAATTGCTAGAATCTGATCCAGCAAAACCCCTTTAGAATATTCTTGCTACAAACCAAGGAAATGAATCAATCTATTGCTCCTACCCCATACTGTATCCTGCCTCTGTATATTTTTTGCCTAGGCAGGTGACTTCTACAATGCCTTTGGATGCCTTCTTCCATTCCTGCTCTTCAAAAAATAAACACTAGGATATTCACTCATGCATGCACAGACAACATCTAAATCTTTCTCAACTTCTAAATATTTTGAGACAGGAGTTTGAGGGGAAAAAATGAAGGCTAAATTTCTACTTTTCCTTCACTGAGATATCATTGCTTGTGACAACCAAGATTTATATAGGACTACCATGCAATTTACAAATATGCAGAGGTCCCTTTTTTCTCACCAGCTTTGGCTTTTGACTTCTCTTACTTCAGTCATTGCTGTGCTACTTCAGTATTTTTTTTTTAATGTTGAATCCATTTCAGTATCCATTGCCTGTATCTGCTGCTGGAGTCAAAAGTCAAATTTGATGGTTTATATATTTCAAAATTGGATGAGAAAGTCTCTTTGATTGTCAGGACATGGAAGAAGGAGTTCTGGAGAAATCTTCTCATTACTCTACTGAACATTGAGTCTTGCGACAACCTACCAAGTCTTTCCAAGCTAAGAGAAGATTTAATAAATGTGATGGATTCCTCTTATCTCATGGAAGACATGGAAGATGCCACAAGAGAACTTGCTGCTCTGCTTGCCAAGGATTCCTAGACAAATTGAGACTCTTGAAAAACTTCCCTCTTATTTTGTGATGGCGTTAATATTCTGATGTATATTCCTTTTACTTTTTCAAAATGATTTTGTATGTCATTCAGGATGGTTTACTGAATAAAGGATCACAAAATCCACACAGTTCAGTGAGATAATTTATGCCTGTTGAGCTCTCTGCTGGATTCGTTTTTGCTGTTCTTCACTTTGTAGTTGCTCTAATGTGAGAAGAGATACACCAAGCTGGTCCTCCCGTGTGAACGGCTGAGCCATCTGTCTCAACCACCTCTTGCAAATCTGCCAGATAAACAGCTGCATGTGTTTTTGAATCAGAAACCAGAACAGTCAACTTGGGATCCTCACCTGAACAGCCTCTTCTGTTGACAGGTTGCACATGGAATCTTTTAGATGCTCTTGAATCCATCTTGGCAGTTTACCTTTTTTGTCCACTCTTGCAAATCTCTGCCCAGCAAGAGAGAACCCAGTTAAGAATGAATCACTTTCAAGGTTGAAGATTCTGGGGCTGCTTACTTTGTCAGCAAATACCATGATTCCATAGTCAGTCTTCCCCCTCAATACTCGACCAACACATTGTGCTGCATGTCTCATTGCATCAAAGGTCAGAAAATCATTCTCCCTGATCTAAAATAGGCACATACTATTGGTCTGGGATTCAGTTGGAGACACAAAAGTATTAGAGGAAGGAAGGCTTCTTATTGCCTTACCTGAAACTGATCCCTAAGATACTCCAAGCGAGCTCTGAGGATACGACTCTGGGTGTAGACATATGGAATTCCCATCATTATCACAGCCCTGCCAAGGTGATGATCAAAATCTACACCTTCAGACACTTTGCCCCTTGCAACAGAAAGGAGGACAGCTCCTCTCCCATTCTCGCATGCCTGCAGGTAGTAGGTATAGCACTTATGGATAATTCAACAAGCTAGCACAAGGTAATTGAACATCTCATATTTCTTGCCTTTATGTAATTAAGGAGGGCAAGGCTGGTCTCAGCTGCATCTTGAGTCTCAATGAAGAGAAGCTTTCGCTTTTGGATGCTCTGAATTATCTCCTGGTCATACCAGGATGCAACAACTTGCTCCATGTAAAGGTATGAAGTGAAGAAGCAAACCACACCATCAGGTACAACACTTACTATGTCCACTAAGAGATTTCCATAATTTCGAATCACAGCAATGTCATCACGAGTTTCGAATCGTGATGAAATGGCCACCTGATCGTTCCCTCTTGCCACAATCTCACCAAAAAAAAAATTATTCCGGTTAAAAGTCTATTTCCAGGCAGACAAAAGAGTTAATCTAATTGAACATACCATTGGAAGAATGCACTGTCTGGCAAGAGTCATCGTGAAGGAAGACATAATGACTGGGTGAAAATCCAAGATTTTTGGGTACATGTCCAATGGAGACAATGTCCCAGATGTTATCACCACTGATTGGAACCGATCAAACACTGGTTTGATGGCTATGGAGGCATCCATGCAGCTACAAAAATGGCAATTGAGAATTTTGTACTATTAGTAGTAGCAGGGCATGTCCATAGTGTTGGACTGGAGTAATATGTTTGATATGCATATTGTATTTAACTATAACTGATGAATCAACAAAAAGGCTGCAACAATTTGCTTTATGCAATGACTGAAAATTCTATAATCTGAAGTCTTGCATACTTTCTTTTGCTTGTGTGTGAAGAAAAGTGTCAGATGTGACAATTCATGGAACTTCAGGTTCAAGTCACTTGCTCTAATGGTCCACATCTGTTATAGAGTGAAACCTATCAATTTGGTATTATGTTCATTCAATAGATTAAATGAAAGCCTGGAATTAGTCAGCTGAAGATTACAACACATAAAAGTAAGCAAGGCTGTTTTGTGACTGTGTCAAATGTGACAGGAAAGTGCTGAATCTGACATGTTGGGAAAATTATTTCAAAATGAGAGGTCTGTACACATATTTCAATGCTATCTTAAAGATATCATTCAAATGTAAACAATTGACATCTCTTCACACCTCAGCTAATTTGAAATGATTGATATAAAGGGTGATTTTAAAAAATGCTCTAAAATTTTCTATGGGAGAAACAGGTTTATAAATGCAACAAACAAATGTACACTGGATACACTATTGATATTTTACACTTTCAAGGTGGTGAAATACATGCCAGCTTTTTTTCAGCACCCCTGCCTAAATTGTGCAATGCCCATTTAGAGGTGAATCATTCCACCTCAAGTGAGGTGATTGACTGTGCTCGACCATCTTAGAATTCAATGAACTTTTCAAGTTTAACTTCCCAAGGGACACTTGGATGCAGCTGATACTTGACAGAGAGAGTCATGAGTCTTTTTTTCACATCTGTAAGATGGCACTGTATCCCAATAGAGGGTGTTGTTGGCTGGAGGGCCCACTGTCTCTGTGCTATGCCACTTAATACTTAGGAAAAAAAAATACCTCTAGGTTTTTTTTCAGCCTTTGACCCTAACATAAGCCACTCTGCCAAATATCAGTTGTATATGAAAGCCCTTTCAAAAGATTTGGTCTTGAAGCCAATTTAAAAAATATTAATTTAGTCAAAATCAATTTAAGGCCAAAACTAGTAACACTACTCTAATTGAATTTTGAGATGATGGAGCATAGACCATTCCTGCATTTGAAGTGTAATGATCCACCTGTAAACTTTATAACAGGATGATGCACAGCTCAAGGAATTGTTCTGGGAAAAACCCAGATAATATTCTCAACATCTCCTATATGTCCAATATCAAGTGTTTATTTTATATTTTTTACTTGAAACCATGAATCGTACTTTCTCCCATGAAAACAGTGGAGTGATTTTTTAAAATCACCCGATCAACAACAGTGCCCTCTTGTGGATGTGAAAAAACCTTATACTCATGAACCTCTCTGTCAAGTATCAGCTGGATCCAATTGTCTCTTGAAAAGTTAAGTTGAAAGGTTCATTGAATTCTGAGACAGTTGAGCACAGATCATCACCTCACTTGAGGTGGAATGATCCACCTTTAATTCACCTCTAAATGGGCATTGCACAATTTAGGCAGGGGTGCTGAAAAAAAGCTGGCATGCATTTCAACACCTTGAAAGTGTCATATATCAATTGTGTATCCAGTGTAAATTTTTTTTTGCTTTTATTTATGTAACTGTTCCTCCCATAGAAAAAGGTAGAGCGATTTTTTTAAATCACTCTATACAGTACATTGGAGAACCCATGCTAGCATCTGTTCCAGTAGTCCAATTCAGTCTCTCCAGCTTTGCATTTCCATTGCATCCATGAATATAATGAGAATGATATAAATACAGTAAAAACTTGTTAATTCAAATCCTGTTAAGTCAAAATTCAGCTTATCTCGAAGTTCAATGCTTGGTTCCTGCCAAATCCCATTAGACACCATGTTAAATGTTCAGTTTAACCAAAAAATTTGCTTATCTCGTATTTCCAGATATCTTGAAAGACATTTTCACTCCCAATTATGATTTTCTCATGGTTGACTCAAAATCGGGGTGTGAAGGGGGGAAAAATTATTGTGGAACGTATCAATTTGTTGAATAGGTGAAAGGCAAGAAACCTGTTTGGGAGAAAATCCTTTTGTTTCTATTTTTTTTTTTGCTTCCTCCTCCACCCTCACAGATGCCTGTGGAGAGGATTAAAACTGAAAAGCTTCTGCTAGAAAAAGAAGCAATCTCTATCACTTTCCCTGTCTGCCTAATGCTCTCACTTACAGCCATTCCAGTCATATTCGGTTACTGGAGTACCGGATGAAAAGCGTTGTGATGAATAAATTTTGCATATGGAGTATCTAATTTTCCATTAAAGCCAATTATAATGAGAAGGTAGTTGCTCCTTGAAATCGGATTCTTGAGGACAGAAAAATCGCCACATTATATCCCTTAAAGCAGGGGTCGGGAACCTTTTTGGCTTTGTGAGCCATATTAAAGATTGAGCTTGTGAGTGAAAATTTTTCAGAACAACATAATTTTTCCTGAAGTTGGCAATAGATACATGCATTCTTTGATATATGAGAGAAATGAGGAACAACCACATTATTTTCAGCCATGACTCAATGAGCCAAACTTTTCGACTTGAGTCAAATTGGCTCATGAGCCATAGGTTCCCAACCCCTGCCTTAAAGTGAGTAAAATTTTTTTTTTTCCAGGTAGAGGCAATTCCTGATTAGTTGAGCTTCAGATAACTCAAAATGACTTTCCCAGTCCCCAAAAGTTCGAGTTAATGAGTTTTTACTGTAATATGTAATAGAAATGACTGATTCTTTCATTTTTTTAAATAATAATTTTCATTCATTCAATCTTATAAGGAAAGGGATGATGAACTCTTGAAGAGAAAGTAATAATCACAAATTTAGAGGAATTTCCCACTGGGTCATTCCATCTCACATCAGCCGGAGGCCAGGTGGTGACCCCAACCAATATTGACAACATGAGGGGTACCATATGGTACCCTTCATGGTCCAAAGTAAGAGTGCAAAATTTCAAAAAAGGGGCTCATATGTGGGGTGAAAACTTTTCTACCAAAATGAACACAGCAAACACTATTGTTCTTTAAAAAAGGTTAGACTTTTGAAGTTATTTCATATACTTTCTTCCTCAAGGCATTAATGAATAAAATAACAGCATGTCAAATTAGCCTATTTTTGACATATTCAGAAATTTGCAAAACGTCATGATTGTGAAACCCTATCATGATGTATATTTTTGGAATCAGCAGAAGATCTAGTGATATGTGTCCCATTTTTGTCCCAAAAAATTCCACTTGGAGATGTGATGGCTAGAAATATGCAAAAATCACAAATTTAGCAAAAAAACCACTGTTTTCAATTGTATGGTACCATTTTCTATGCAGCTTAACAAACTTAAACATTTTGCAGAATGTCTGCCATTTACTTGAATATAAGATGAGCAATTTCAAGGCTAATATATTTTTTTATGCATTCCACAAAAATTTTTATTCAGACCTCCACCTCACAATTTCTGTAGTTGTTCTGTTGTCTCATTTCTTCAAAATGGTTGTGCTCTTGACAGAGCCTCATCCCCATAAGCTGTTCGTAACATTCCATGTTTCAGTGGGGGCTTTCCCCAGCTTTACACAAAACTTCATGTTTACATGTTGTTCCATTGCTGGGGTTCTGATGGCAAAGTAATATATGATGCACAGAACACATCCATACGAAACAACAATGCAATCCCAACTGATTACAATTAGTGGGACTGCCAAGTTCACACTTCACAGCGTCTATAGCGGCCACTGCGGAATGATACTCGTACTGCATATTTTAATTTTATTCCAGTCTCATTACTTTCTTGCTGCACTGTGTATGAGCATGAAGAGATGTCCCTTTTTTTATTTTGCAAAATTAAAAAAATTATTTTTTCAAAGTGGCTCCATACCTGAGGTCAAAATTTTGCACTCTTACTTTGGACCATGAGGGGTACCATGTGGTACCCCTCATGATGTCAATATAGGAGGGGTCACCACCTGGCCTCTGGCTGATGTGAGATGGAATGACCCCACTATGATTCTTTGGACTACTTGGTATGGACAAACACAACACTAAATGTGATGCAAAGGACAGAACAAGATGTGAGCTACCTGAAATGGAGGATAGGATTGAGAACAGTGGGGGTTTTCTCGTCATAAGGCTCAATGATGAGGGAGAAGCCTTTGGTGTATGTTGAAACTAATGTTGCAAAATGTGAGATCAGGGTGAGGGGTGAAAAGTCAGAGAGATCTGCAATTTCCAATGTTCTCAGTAGGGATGCAAGCCGTTCGGCACAAAACCTAGGGTACAAAGCAATGTTTCAAAACAACTTATTCATGATATTGCCACACGTTAAAATTGCAGAATAGGTACACACCGAAGGGGTTTTCTTTCAATGCAGACTCTCTGAGCACAGTCTTTGAGAAAGCCTGCAGGGCTCTCCTGTACCACATGTTGCACTCTCAAGCGCATCTTCAGGTACTCAACAAATCTTTTGATGAAGACCATGAAATGTTCTGCATTTCTGATATTCCCTGGGACAGCCTCTGTAGGAGTAGATTTGAGGTTGTTGATTTTCTAACTGGTTAAAATGAATTAACCCATGGCCATTTTTTAGTTTTGCAACCTCTATATTAACTTTTTATGAAAAATAATTTCTTGATTTCAATGAAAGAAATATTGTAAGAACAGATATAGTGCCTGTGTTAGGTTTAGATATTATTCTGTGTACACACCAATGCTAATTGATGCATTTTTACTCCGTATTCTATCCTGGGTGGGAGGTTGAGGGTGAATGGTGATCTAGCACAGGGGTGTCCAACTCAATTTGGTGGGGATCAAATGATTTGGTTCAGGTGTGTTTGGGGGCCTCAATAACAAATCTCACACCATATACACCACATTTTTAATGCGAACAAGTAACATTTTCAGCAATTTTCTGAAATCAACTGTTAAAGAGGAATTCGCAGGCCAGAGAAAATGAATTGGCAGATTGGATCTGGCCTGCAGGCTGCCAGTTAGACACCCCTGATCTAGTAGATTGAACCATATACTATGTGAGATCATTTGAAAGAGAAAGGTCTGGGCTCTCAATAGATGTCAACCATCAAATGAAATATGACCTATTTGCACAAATGACTTGTAAACAATTCGGACAGAAGTAATTTTTAAGAACAGTACAGATTGGTTGAGCAACTACAAAAGAGTTCTGGTGGCCAATGTGTTAATAACTGTCATTTAAATATATAAACAATAACCAAAATGAATCAGGGTCCAGCATCTTCAAACAAACCTTGAAGGATTTCATCTGGAAAGACAGGATTGGCAAGTAAGACATCAGCTTCCCGAGCAATACTTGCACCCCTGAGTCCTTCAACAAGTCTCTGGTACTCTTCTCTCAGTCGAACTGAATCTGTCTCCTTGATACTAGTGGCAACCAAGAATACGTATGTCACTCAAATCCATCATTAGGAAGAAATAAAATGTTGATCTGGGCTCACTTATTGATTGTTCTCTCCAAGACTTGGATGCAATTTTGACACTTGTCAAGCAACCTCCTCGTTATGTTTACACTCATGGAATCAATGCACACATTGTCTGGAATGAAGAAAGATATATTGATATTCCTCTCTGGATGACATACTTCCCAGGAGATATATCTGGTTACTCACCAATGTTATGTGCTTCATCAAAGACAACAACTGAAGACCGAGACATTTCTTTGGATACTAGTTCTGCTATTTTTGGATCAAGGAGGTAGTGATAGCTGTACACGACTATGCTGGCATAAGAAATCTGCAAAATCCAAGGCCTGTTCTAATAAAAGATCAGTTCCTTTAGTTGGAGAAGAAAGAAAAATGAAGAAAACTGACAGCTTTACGGGCCACAAAGTAAGGGCACCATCCTTTTTTCCTTCCATACTCCTTGAGATCATCCAAGTTGTATATGCCATAGGGCAGCATGATCTCCTTCCCATGTCCATCCCAGTCTTCATAGAAGGAGCATAATGCTATATTTTCATCATCCTTTTGCTTAGCCCGCACATATGATGCTGTCATACTGTGACATCGTCCATCCACTACTTTTCCATCTCTCTCTTTACTCACCTGTCATACAGAAACACATGAAAGAACATATGACAGAGAGTGAAACAGTGTTAAAGTCATTCCATTTCTAATCACCTCAGGATGAATGCAGAGATTTTTCCTGGAGCTCAGAGCTAGTCCAATAATGTTAGGATTCTCTCCAGTCTCTTGAGCATAAAACTCCACAAGCTTCCTCAATTCCTCAAGAGCTTTTTCAATTTCAGGGACAGTTCGAGAGCAGTAGATTAGCTTGGTCAGATCTGTAGGATTTGTTTTGATGTATGCCACAATAAGGGAGAGAAGAGAGACAGTCTTTCCTGTCCCTGAAGGCATCTCCAGCAAACAATGACCCTGCAGCAATAGAAATTTAGATCAGAAATTAGAGACATATGCATCAACAAAAAAGTTATAAAAAATCCTTGAGGCCTAATTTAGTGAGGTCAGTAAAGCTAGTACTGATAAATTATTGTGGCTTGGTGTTGCTTTACAATAAGAATTATAGAGTGGAATGATCCTATAATACAAATTATCATACCCTGTAACTCACTCTCACACTCATGCATGTTTTCCAAAATAAACATACTTCCTCCAATAAATGACACCTCAAAGTCCATAAAACCTGCTCCATTCAGTAACTTTTTGAACACTTCCTATATAATCACCTTGAATTGCACATCTGTCTTCAGGTTCCCTTTTCATCCTATGAGGTTGTGAATGCATTCAAACACTAAGTAGCTCATAAATGAAAATGAACAAACTTTGGAGTTTAACCTAGTCAGTCCAAGCATCATAAGTCTCAGGGAAAGAGATCAATCTTCCATGTTCAACAGTCTCTGAGCTGAAAATATCATTGAAAATTATGCTACAGATTGCTGAGAGCATTTTCAATAGTACAGGGTGTTTCACAAAAATAAAATAAAACAGAAACTCTAAAAATTTTGTTTTAGTGAAAAAAAAGTTCAAATGAGCACTTCTAGCTGCAGAACAGCCTCAAAGATGTCAAGAGAAGTTTTGTATTGCTGCCTTCAGTACTTTCTACAGAATGCCTTGAACTGCCCATTGACTCATTCCCTTGAGTTCTGCAATATTTGGCATGTCCTGAAGGGTTCATTCTTCCTGTATTCCCACAGGTAAAAGTCGAGTGGACTGAGGTCTGGGGATCGTGCCAGCCACTCGATGTCATCTTGCTGAGAAATGAACCACCAAGCTAATCTCTCTCTCAGCCACTCAATACAAATGTGGGCAGTGTGGCAGGTTGCCCCATCCTGCTGCAAAAAAAATATTCCATTTGTGATGCACTTTTGGCCAGAAAAATTTCTTCTTAAGGTGACACTTGATATGCACAAACAGATAATTTTTTTGCAGCAAGATGGGACAACCTGCCATTCTGCCATACTGCCCACATTTGTATTGAGTGGCTGAGAGAGAGATTAGCTTGGTGGTTCATTTCTCAGCAAGATGACATCAAGTGGCTGGCACGATCCCCAGACCTCAGTCCACTCGACTTTTACCTGTGGGAATACAGGAAGAATGAACCCTTCAGGACATGCCAAATACTGCAGAACTCGAGGGAATGAGTCAATGGGCAGTTCAAGGCATTCTGTAGAAAGTACTGAAGGCAGCAATACAAAACTTCTCTTGACATCTTTGAGGCTGTTCTGCAGCAAGAGGTGCTCATTTGAACTTTTTTTTCACTAAAACAAAATTTTTAGAGTTTCTCTATTTTATTATATTTTTGTTGGAAGAGAATGTTCATTATAATAAAGATGTTATGACAATTCAAAATGGTAAACATTTTTGGGAAGCACCCTGTATAACAGAAGCAAACAACCATCAATAGAGAAAAAGAATTAATTAATTATTTTTCTCTATCTTATCTATAGATATATTTTCTCTATCTATACAGATAACTTGCATTCATGCAAGATATCTGTAAAATGGGCATAGTTTGCATTTCAAAAGAGAATGGTAAAGATGCCTGCATGTGTATCACCAGGGGCTATAACAGTTAGTGCCATAAAAGGAAAGGGAAGGTTTGAGTGTTTTCTACCAAGTAAAAAATTTATGTTTCATAGAGTACTTCTAATCTGAATGCTTCATCTCCTCATTCAGAGCACTATTCTGAGCTTCTCTTCAATCACTCCACAGGTTCCCATTCTCAGTCCCGTTCTTTTATTCCTCTGGTACATCAATCATATGACTACCTGTTTAAAGTATTGCACTATTGACCTGTACAAGAATGACACATACATATACACTGCCTGGGACATCATTACAAATATCCAGACCCCACCTCCAACATGACAAAAATAACATATTTATCTAAGCAATAAAAAATATAGGTACTCAACCATAGCAACAAAAAAATTCATACATGCCTTTTTGCTCTTTCTCGCTCAAAGCTCAAGAGACAAAAGCCAAAGCACCACCATCAACTCTAATCCCATCCAGTCTAGTCCTAATTTATAATTTCCTTGATTTCACCATGATAGTGAAATTAAAGAAATAGGTGATATCAGATGACTATCTTTCAACGTTTTGCTGCATCAAAAATTTATTTGGAAGAAAATTCTCATTTAAAAAATTTACTGAGGGGATAAACCTCAAAAGTAAAATTGTAATAACATAAGTATGAGAAACTCTTCTTGTACACAGAAAACTAATTGTATGCCATATTTCAGCTTTCAATATTTGCCTATTTTGATGTGGCAAAAAATTGTTCAAAAGTGTCCCTCAAGAATTCTGCTATGAGGGGACATATCTTGAAGCTAAGATTTTTAATTAACCCCTTAAATGGACTCGCCGCATATGTGCGGTCTGGCACCTGCCTTCTCTCAATGGAATCACTGCACATATGCGTTCAAAAGTTCCCAGTTAAGGGGTTAACATCATTATTCTGAGAATTTATTTGTGCCTCATTTCATTTCTGTATATATCTTCCCCTTCTCATGAAGAGAAAAAAAAAAACTTGGAAATATCTCCCTGTCACAATTTGCTCTGAGGGGATATAATTTCAAAAGCAGGATTTTTCTTATACTGAGGAATATACTCGTATAACATGTTTCAACTTTCTATCTCTCTCTGTTTTGTTGGAGCAGCGTTTTTTTTTAATAAGGGGTCTCTTGCAAAAAATGTGCAGAGGGAATTTTCTTCAAAACTAAGATTCTTGTTGAAATTGATGCTCCAAGAACAACTTGTGCGGCAAATTTCAGTTGTCTGTCTTGCTGTTTTAGTAGAGTGAGAAAAAAGCCTGGATATGTTTGTACATAAAAAAAAATATGCCCTGAAGCATTATAAGTAAAAGTAACATTTTTCCTTAGCTCATGAAGTCAATAGCTATTTGCATACCAATTTTCAGCTTTCTCTGTATCTCTGCTTTGTCCAAACAGAAAAAAATTCTGGAAATTTGTGACCACCAAAAATATGTACCCTGAAGGGATTCACACTAAAAGTGACATTTTCTTTTTTACTGAAATCAGTACCTGAAGAACTACCTGCAACCAAGTTCCAGCTTTCTATATTTGTCTCTTTTTCCAAAGCAAAAATGTCTTTAGAAAAGCTTTCCCACCAAAAAAATGTGTCTGGAGGGGAGGCACCTCAAAAGTAGGATTTTTCCTGAACTCAATATCCCAATAGCTATTTGTATGCCAATTTTTGCCTTTCTATCATTACCCCATAAACTGGGGCAAATATTTTTTTTTTTTTTTTTGGGGGGGGGGGGGGAAATTTCTCCCACCCAAAAAGCAAGAATATGTCCCCCAGGCAATTTTATCTCAAATGTAAGACTTTTCTTGAGATCTGCCAAGCTTCAGGTTTCTATCATACCTAAAACATGGTTAGAATTGGCATCACTCTCTCACTCACAATTGTCTATAATATATTGATAAATATGTGACATACATAAATGTACAATCAAAATTAATGCCTCTATTATGCCTATGCTGAGATATGATGGAAATCTGGGAGCATTTATTAGGGAATGACATACTGTTTACAATTAAAGTAGTCTTGAATTTGAATGGGAGACTCTGTGGTCAAAACAAATCCAAACTTTTGGATCATGCAATAGAATATAGACACTAATGGGTTAATATCCTCTTCAAAGAAGCCCTATGGGTAATTCATAGGATTGACAGATATCACTCCTTGGCATCTTTATTTGAAAAGGTCTGTTGGCTAGCTGTGCCAAACCTAATTACACTATTAATAGGTAAATTGGCACATAAATATCTCACGTATAATTCTCCTCAATTTCTAAAGATCCTCCTCACCCATGAACATGCTACCAGATTTAGGATACCTGTCAAAGTTGCCAAAAAGCTCAAGCTCAACTCTTTTGGCAATCATTTATCCATCAGTTGTAAACACTAGACCCTCTCTCAATGTGCATCTCTATCTCTCCACAACTAAGTTGGTGGTGTAGTTTTTTTCATGCTGTAATGGTCTGTCCCCATGGGCCTAGGTGTACATTCTCACTCTATTCTCCTCTTGTCATCATCATTATTGTAACATACAAGGAGGTGCACTGCTCTATACTTTCATGCTTCACCTTTCTCCTATTTTCTTTTTTACTCCTAACTGTTGGCAGACTTCACTTCTTACACAGTGCCTGTACTTTTCATAATCAGAACTAACATTCATGCAGTTGACCTCCTTTGTATAAATACTGTAAGTCTTATCTACTAGCTTTGTCCTGAATAAAAAATTATTTGACAGTTGACTGGACCACATGAGTTTTGAAAACCTTTTCTCTGAATTCTTTCATCAATGACAGCAGAGTATATGGTAAACAGCATATAGGACATGGGTCTCCCAATGAAAATCAATCAATGCATATGACTAATGTCTTCTCAAGGGATTCTTATGGCACCAAGTCCTGTTTCCCTATTTTTCATAAACCTGATTCCACACAATTCCTACACCATTTTGAACATAAAGGTTTCAACTTGCTTTCCTACTGAAGCTTCAGTCCATCAAAACCCCTGTGATATGCACACAAGAGACTCACTTTTGCATCCAGTGCTCGCTTGAGTTCCACCATATAGGAATACTGCTCAGGGTAGATATAATCATATGGGAAGTACACAAGCAGTCCTTCCACGTTCAACCTGGAAGCAACACAGGAAGGCATTTGATTAGGAAGAGGCAGAAGCATAATTAAGAATTTCAAGGGCATTGGAAATCCTTACCTCATTTTCACCACTTCTGACCTATTGATTCCTGTTTATGCAAAAATATCCTATATATGCATACTCTTGCATCAGTTTCTAGACAAACAAATGTTTCTTTGGGAGGCTGTAGGAATTCAAATGTGCAGCCACAGTCACTAAGTTTTCTTTCAAACAACTTCAGTGTTTCTGGATTCCTTTCAACACAACACACAATTGCAGTTTTTGTTGGTCCCTTCAAAAATATTAGAAGGGTTTTCACCAAAGAAGGCACAAGGACAGGATCAAACACAACATCTGCTGCCAATACAATGTCCACATTGTAATTGAAGTCAAATTCCCAATCTAGTTTGTCCTCCCAGTCAAGTTTTCCCACAAAAACTTGAATTTCTGATGAATGATCTCTCTTCAGCACTACTTCTGAGGGGTTTTCAAAATACGAAAACTTGACTCGGTTCAGTTTCAAATTCTCTAAAAGGACATTTATCACCTTATAGTTACAATCTGTAAATATGTAAGATGAAGGATTGCACCTCAAAACAGTTGATATCCCCGTCAACCCAGATCCACATCCAACTTCCAAGAGATGTTTGCCTTGCAGCAGTGATATATTATCAGAACACCAACTGGCGAGAATGACTGCCCCCGGCCAGGAATGGAGGCCAGTTGTTCCATGTGATATGAGAGGCAAGTTTTCTTTTATGGTAATCCAGGAATGGCATGGAGCCTTTTCTGATTTACCAATGCAGTAAGATTTGAAAGTCACAACTTCGATATTATCAGCCTCGCAGTCTTTTTCTTCTAGGAGTTTAGTATAGGTATAAAACAAATCATCAAGGGGGTCAACTCCTGCATCTTCAACAGCATTGATAACACATTTTAAGAACTTTCTCTGGAACTCCTTGCTGACTTGGTATTGCAGATTCAGTTCATGATGGATCGTTGATGCAATAATCAAGTTTTGCCACTTTCCATCTGCACCCTCACAACTTGGATTAGATTCAGACAGTTTGACCAATGTCTTGACTATCTTTTCAGTAGCTTGAAGCGAAGAGAGCGAGAAGAAATGACGCTGCAGGTGAAGCAAAACTGAGTTCAGATCGGGACTAGATATAGCAGAAGTTGCTGCAATACACGTGTTTTCACTACCGGCAGCCATACACTAGCATTGTAGTATCGTAAGCGCGCTCTATTGGCAGCGGTGTGCAGTAGCTTAGTTTCAAGTGCAAAAGACAGATATCATAAAGAGTTCAAAGGCCTGTGCACATGCTCTCTGCACGCATGGTCTCTGCGTTTACCTGTGCAACAGTCTGAAGGCAGGCGGGGGCTGGGCCTGGGCAGCTTGGGGCTTGGGGCCCGTCTCAGCGGCTTTCGAGTTCTGGCTCAAGGCTGTCAGTGACTCAGTAGTGGCCCAGCCCGTTGATCGGGAGTGGAATGTAGTGTTAAGGAGCCTGGCCCGTTAACAAAGTCTCTCTTTCTCTCTCTCTCTCTCGCCCTCTCTCTCTCTCTCTCTCGCTTGCTTGTCTCGTGACCGTGACTGACGTCTCCTCCATCTCTTTCGTCCTGTCTGATGTTCAAGCCTCGCGTTTACGTTTACAAAAGACCTAAGATCCAGCTTTTATTGTAATTTGCGGATCACCTCTGAATTTTTTATTATTATTGATTACAACAGAAGAATAATTCTTTCGTCAGGTTTTAATCAAAATCTCCCCGAGGTATGGGTTCAAGGTAGTTTTCATTCTTTATATGTAACGTTACGTCCGTAGTAAATGTATGTGATATAAGAAGTCTGTTCTAAATGTAGGCCTATGTGATGAGAATCAGCTATAACTCTGGGTCACTCTTGTTTTTTACTTTAATTATAATGTTATATGATCATATATGGGATGCTGTTAATAGGGCCTCCCAAGTCACATAACTAACATTGTGCAGGCTTCCCAGCTGCTAAGCTTGTCATGCCAAGGGTGCCCATAAAGCTAGACCTACTTAAGGATATCTGTTACCAGTGTCTGCATTTATGCCTGTGTGTTCTCAGCTGTGATATAGCTCTATTATAAGTATGCCAAACTGGTTGGTAGAATGTGCCTACCCAGCTTAAAATCCCAGCCGGAAGTAGCTATAATTTTCAGCTAAACCCCAGCAGGAAAGTAAAGTCATCCTGATTAGTCCACTAGTTGCAATACCATTGCTGGAATGAGAATGCTTTTGTTGGATACTCTTTCTGGAGGTCCATCTACATAAGCAGCAGAATTTCAACCTAAAATTCAGCTGTATTCTATCTGGTGTATAAAATTCTAACTGGAAATTTCTAGCTGGAAACAGCTAATGAAACCAGTTGCATTCCAGTTTAGAAATTCCAGCTGTAAAATAACCTATATTGACTATTTTACACCTATTTGCCAGCTGGAAATGGTCTGAATTTACAGCTTTGATCCAACTTGAAAGTTCCAGTTTGGAAAATTTTAAACAGTGTACTCTGTTTAAAATCTTGGTATGCTCGGTAATCCTAACTCGTTCTCTGTTGCTTTATTGAACAGAGGTGTGCATACTGTGATAGCATCCAGTAGTTATTGGTTATGTAAAGGAGACTGTTTTAGTTTTATTCCATTTATAGAGGATTTGGAGGTGATATCGGTAATGATGTGGAAAGCCTTAATCAGGTGTGCAACCTCTCTTTTGCCCAAATATGCCCATAGGGTGACCATGTGACCTAACTCTTACTTGCCCCTGGGGGGGTGTCATTTTGACCCACAGCTCATTTATGTTGTCCATGTGTACTAAATGATCAATTAACAACTCAACATAATAGGCAATTAGTGATATGCCAAAAATGACTCTGAAATTTGAGATTTGTGGTGAAATGTTACATGTTTCACAATTTGTTCTGGGTGAAAGTGATGCAATATCAAGAGTGTGACAAAAATTACCTTGGCCAAGTAAGGGTTAAGGTTGCACTGATTACCAACTCTCATTCCTTCCCCACCCCTTGGAAATTGAGACATAAAAAAATAACCTTAGCATTGAGAACCTTCTTTCTTGGGATGTTTGCACTGCAGGTATGAGGATAAATGAGGGTAAGCAAGTGAAGGGACTTGCAATCTTGTTCTTGGTAATTACTAAGGAATGGCCAAAGTAACGTTAGGCTATAGGCCACATAGGAACTTACTTTATATGTTATTCCGTTGTGCATTACCAGACTACTAGAAGTACAGCCAAGGATTGCAGTTCCCTGGCCAAAATCTTCTGCTCCTGCATACTCCCTTCACCAAGTAAGACAGAGAACATCTGAACACCTTCCTCTTGAAGATGGCGTTCAGAGCAATGGAAGCTGGTCAACCTTGTCAGGTCTCATGTTTGGGGTTATGACAGTAGTATCTATTGCTAAGAGTCCTAATGAACTGTGATTCTAGCTTTTCATCTATCTAAAATCCTACTTGTGTGCACATGTACATGTGCTTGTTTTGTTAACTCAACACTTTCAGTACTCAACAATTCATCTGCTTTGCAGTCATTTAATCCTTTCACCTCACCTTTGCCCCATTGCCTCTGCTGCAATCTCCTCCTCCCACTTCCTCATCTTCTGCTCAACAGCATGGGCAATATTGCAAACTACAATTTTAACTTGATGCCTTCAAAATTGTCTTAGTGTGTAGGTTATCATACAGCATCATCAATTACTCTCAAATCCTGGGTTCAAAGGATAGCTTTAGACACAACATCTACCAAGGTCTCTTTGCTTTCTATGCTGCTCCTTCTTTACATCTTGTTAACTTTTCTCCTTTTAAATAGGAGGGCTACTACAAGCCTTTAAATAGCACTATTTTTACTCCCAATCACAGCTCCAATTCACATGGAACTATTTTAAACCAAATTGACCTTTTTTGCATAAAAAAATAAATTCACTATTAATATTCCTGCCTATAGCTGAAAACTTGTGATCATGTTGGTCATTGGTTCCACCTCTCACTGCATAGAATATACCTTGATCTTTTGAAAGCCATGAAGAAGTGTGAACTTGAGAAGCATTGGAATCTGTTTTACTGAAGTGACAACTCAAGTTCTTTTTCCCTTGATATGCATGAGTGTTACTGCTAGAGTAAGCCGAAGAATGTAAAGAGGGGAAGAGTGAACTGAAGGGAGATGTAGCCCCAAGGCATTGATATCATCCATTGGGAAGATGAGGATGACGTCATTGAATTGAAAAGGTCCTTATTCGAGGCGATCCAGACCTAACTTTATCACTCATCCTTTGATGTGCTGTGTTACGGAGCCCCTGCGTTTTTCTCTCTCCCCTCATCTGGATACGATGTGTGCGTGTGTGTGTATGTGTGTGAATGAGTGTGAGAGAGAAAGAGAGGGGGGGCAGCGTGCTTCACGCCTTGATGGGCAAGAAACGGCCTGGTCGTACCTCGTAACATTGCATCACGTGAGGAGGAGTCTTTTTCACTCTCTCCCCCTGGTACTGGCACATTGAAGCCAATCGCTGCTTCACTTCCTTCCCTCCGGGCCTTCGCTGACGGTGAAGTCAGTCCATGAAATCCCACGGTTTTTTTTTTTTCTATGTCCTGGGGGATTTTTGTGGCTAGTCGTGTCCTTTAGGCATAAGCTCATCAAAATCCTCCTTTGCAAGGTGTTTCCTTGACTCGTTATCGCGCAGCGCTAACGTGTACTTTTCCCGGTTCTTCAGATGAAAAATAATGATGTTGGGCTTCGGATAGATGACTCTTATAATGGAATGGCGATGTTGATGTTGGCACCCGTGATTTTCGTCACCGTTTTTCTCGCACTGATTCTGTTGAGAGGTGATAACTGGGGGAAAAACATAGCAACCGACACTTTGGTCGTCTAGGACAACTGGAAATTATATAGCTCCTTAATTCATGGATGCAGTGGATCTTGTCTAACACGGCGGGTTTTTCGAGTTCTCCTTCGGAAGACCTTGGTAAATCGGGTCACCAAAATCCCTCGTAAGTCGTCCATTATTATACCTGTTTGTCTTAGATATCAAAGGTACCGGTATAAGCTGGTGGAAAGGGGGATTGGGTGAATGGGACATACCTCTGTAGGCTTAACATGCAGTGTAAGACGAGGCACGAAGAGAGATGAATTCCTGGAAGGTAAGGGTGTGGAACTCTAATACTTTTCCTCCTCTTGTCTACATCATTATATAAAGCATGCTTCATTTTTCTTCTCCGACCAGCTTCACGTGGATGAATGATTGAAGCTCTTTCATTGCGGCTTTACCCATTTAATGAGTGAAGGCTGCTTGCAGTAACTTTTTTTTTTTTTTTACAGCATGTTTACCATCGATTACCCACCGTTCGATTGCCCGTATTCAACGGAAATGGATAAGCTGAATTATTTGTGCTCCTATTTGGTTTACTTGTATTGGACACCTCAGAAATTGTGATTCGCTTCGAATCGTGTGAACAAGTCATAGTCATGGCGCCTGTTTACGAAGGCTCTCTCTCGAAAAGAGAGAGTGAAAAGTTGTGATGGAATGTAATCAGATACTGTAATTGCTCATCCATGGCAGGAATAAGTTCTTTATTGATTCTTTTGCATACCGACAGATGATTGAGTGAGAAAGAGTATAGGAGACGGCGTGTGTTGGTGTTGTGAACGTGTTTAATAGAATGGAGAGAAAATAGGGAAACGAGGAAGGGAGAGTAAAAGGATGGACGTCAGTGATCGAAGCAACAGCGGAGGGGATGGAGAGACGGTGACGTTCCTCTTTCAATTGGGTCTTATGAGGGACACAGTCACCGCTGAGGCTCGTCAACTCTCTCTCGGAACCCTGAAGGAGCTCGCCTGCCACTTCCTCAACCGCAAGGTAGGCCTACTTGGAAAACCCCTTTCCTTTCTCACTCGGTTTCCAATGATAAGTGATGACGCTCGGGCAAGTATCAGTTGACGTAAACCCCTGCCATTTGGAGGGTTTCTCTCTCTTGTCTTGATAGCGACTCCAGTTCGATCGCCGTGTTTTAATAGAAAACGAGGGCTTGTATGGATGACCGACATACTCGTGAAGTCGTTGAGAGTTGCTTCCAAATTCTCACCCTAGCCTCCCTTTCATATATACGGGCTGGAAGGGAAAATGAGATTATAATTTGTATCAGAGACGTAAAAATCGTGGGAAGGGGATTTCCTCGTTGCAACTGATGAAATGAGTTCCTTGGAGATTTCGCAATGTGAGTTGGAAAGAAAAGACCCGGGCCCATCATTATGGCTTCCAACCTTCCATGGAGAGAGCGGAAGGAAATGAAGAGCTCTGGAAAAAGAAGCATGCTGGGAAATATGCGTGAGGCTCGTCAGAAAAAGATGCCAGGCCTGGAGTGAAATGCCAGAGGTTGTCTGGGGCCTATCATAGATGACATGGGAAGAGGATGGAATATCCATGGGGAAAGAGACCTGCCAAATGCATGCAGACTGATTGAATTAACCTCCCCTGTGGTGAAGATGAAGGAAGCACCAAGGCTAGAGGAGATGCAATAATATATAAGAAGAGACCGTGCACTTGGTCCCTACAATCTTATTTCGTACTACAGTTGTTACTATCCTTCATTTGCCGTTACTTTACTTTCCTCCTCCCCGTTCTGTTTTCCTTCTGGTCTTCTCCCTTCCTTTGATAGCTCCTCGGGAAGTTGAGTGTCGCTGAAGGCCAGCATGACCCTCCCGCGTTCCAATAAAAATCCTCATCCCTTCGAATCGATCCACTCCTCTTGGTCGCTATGTAGCTAGATGATTTCAAGTGAGGTGTGGATACTCCTCGAAGAAGAAAGAGAAAATCCCAATCTAGTGTCATTTCTTTTTCCTGCGTGGCGTAAAATTATTGGATCGTGCCGACTTGGATCTTCAGCTTCATGGCTCATCAATCCTTTTTAAACTTGGAGATTTGCCCAATTCCATCTGCTCGTAGTCCGACAAGTGATGGGTATTGCATTCGTTCCGAAGGCGAGCAAAACAACGGTCAGGTCCCGCGCCTGCCTTTCGTATCCAGGAAAAATGGCAGTGAAAGAAAGTTGGACTGGGAATAGAAAACTCTGAAATGGAGAACGAGCGAAATGGAAGAGCCCTGATTAGAAATGTAGCACACGTTATGAATCTAAGTGTGCTGGGTGTGGCTCTAGGTGTGGATTTGTTAAGGCCCCCATAATGGCAGAGGGATGGGGTAAAGAGAGGGCAAAGAATGTCTTTGTTTCATGAGACACGCGACCTGTGGTCATCATTCCTTCTCGTACCCTCTTGGGACCCGTGAATATTCATAACTTTGATCTCTCTTAGTTGTGGAGGTGACCTCGAGGCAGACTAGGCGCTCGTAGATTTCCCTTCCCTTTCATTTTCTTCTCAGCCGCACAAATAATACTGTCCAGGACCTGGATATTGCTCTCCAGGCTCCATTTCCTGGAAATTTTATGAGACAAACACCCCTCCTCTCCCTTGTAATGTTTCCTTCCCGTCCACCCGTCATTGCTTCTCATCTCTCCCCGATCCTTTCCCATATCCCGGTACTTGACTTTAAAAAAGTAACAACTTGGACAAAAAAGAATCTTAATGTCTTATTTGTCTATTTATAGAGACTTTCAATACCCAATCCTATGTGCACACAACACTATTGCCTGAAGTTCCTTGTGTGACATGTCAAATGAAGGAAAAGAGAAAACTGCGGTATTTATGAGCTACATAATCGAATGGCAGTTGTCACATTGGTCCTGCCCTGTTTTTAATGGACTCTTGCACAGCCCGATGACATTCATATTAACTTCAACAATCAATATGCACCTCCTAATAATTTAACTTTAAAAAATCGAACTTAACCCTTTAAATCCTCCTTTTATTGGCCTACTGCTTAGCACAGAATCTTCATTTAGAACGAGCCAGCCTTGTTGGGACTCAACGGGTTAAGACAACACTCACAAACATTATTATTCAAGATGGTTTGTGAACTCTTGATCCGTTGTTCGTTGCCGGTTAAACATGCAAACTTTCAGTCATGGTGGGACTCACAAGTCCCGCATTTTCTTCGTAAATGTTATAGGGCTACATAGGAATGCACGACTTTGAAGCCATGGCAGGATTCTGAGTCCTTGTTTATAATAGTTCACCACTTGTTTTCAAGCTGACAGCAATCCACAACGATATAGAGCTGTTTTATTTCCTCTGGCACTTCAAAAATTGTGTAATTTATATTTATTTCAGCTAAGACATTTCTTTCCCAGCCAATTTGTTGTTTTTGCAAGCTAGATAATGGAAAGTAGTACAGAAATACTGAGGAAAATACGACGTAAAATAGGGATATGAGTACTTGCTGAACTAATTAAATAGCATGATTTTATTAAACATATTTATCTCATGGAATAATTAAAATAAATATTTAATTATACTTGAAATCATTTTAAAAGCATTTTTATGTTGCACAAGCTTTGTTGAAGCCCAAAAAGTATGACATTTTTTCCATCCCTAGAACATAATTCAGTCCCTGAAAGGGTTAATTTTGCTATTTTTTTCGCACACATGACCATGCTCGTGAGTTAAACGAAAGCATATCATCTCATCTCTGAGAATAAAGTCAAATAAAACTTCATTCTTGCATGGGAAAAACTCAAAAGTGCATATTAGTCTTTGCATAAGTATATGGTATGCTATGCAGACGCAGACTTAAGAGCAGCTCTGGATGTTCTGCGAGAATTTGCGGAAGAAGATGAAGGGAAGATGGTGATAGTAAAACCAATAAGGAATAAGAGCAACGTGATGTGTCGTGCAATCATGATGGCGGGGGATGTCATGGTAGGACGATCCAATCTCTTTTAGAGGAGAGATGAAGCTGCTTCGTGTTTTCGCCGCCCTTCATCTAACCCTATCGGATCCTACGTGCTCATGAATCACATGCTGAATCCCTTTCGCCCCCCCCCCCCTCCCTCCTGTCCCACTTTTTCGACGTGGGTGACGAAATTAGGAGGTAATGGGACTGAGCTGAGGTGACAGGCTCCAACTGTGATCCAGAGACTATAAACGGTCACGAATATCCCTTCCAGGCCCTATGCCTGACGACAGGCCCTGGCTATCACCCTTCATGATAGGCTGCTACATAATATCCGAGCCCGCGGGGGGTCTCTTGAGTTTCTCACCCCCTAGTCACCTGACAGCATCTGGGATTGGGAAAACCGGAGCAACAGATGCCCCGTGAATTCCGATTATAAAAGTCAAGGAGCATAACAAACTCGCACATCTATGGGGAGAGATAACTCCGGTTAGATTGGGAATACGACGCGTGTACGGTTTCCTCCTAGATTTCATGCAGAACGACTTGTATCCATGTCACTGTAATGAGAGCATTTCTAAGGGCATGACGACATCGGTGCGGCCAGTGTGACAACCGTGACTTGCACGAAACCCGCATCTCCCCTTTTCTCCTTCCCTCTCCCAAAACAGCCTGTTGTCTGCTTCACTGAATTCTAGTCATCACCGAACTTGACGAGACTAGAGCCAAAAAAATCAAATTTCGTCACTCGATAGCCCGTCTCGTATTGTTTGACTTTGGCAAAAAAAAACCAGCATGAGTGAAATATGAGTAAAATAAATTGCACCCTATTCTTCATCATCTCACATTGCGATCCTCTCCCGTTTCAGGTTCAATAAGTGATTTTAAAAAGCGCTGACAGCGACACGAGATTGGTTTCGGACTTCCAGCAGCCTGTATTTAGGCCGATGTGGCATGGGAGATTCAAGGGGAGAACGTAATACGCGGAACTTCCTGGGAATACGGAGAGTTTTATGTTTACAAAGGAATGAGATTGATAATATTCGTCCAGTTTTCATGGGTATCTTGTTCCATCTGCAAATCACGGCTTATCATAGTTTTAGACCCAAAACGACACGATTGTCAAAGTTGCGTGCTCTCTCAAAGAGGTGGGGCAGAACAGAGTCGCTAAGCAACATTTATATATTTGAGTATGGAGAACTGGCGCAGCACGTTATGGATTGGTACGCGATACTTCACACATACCTTTGCTACGAAGCGGATTAAACTTCATGGCGAAGTCAGAGACAGTTTTATTATACAGAAAGTTCCAAATATTGTTATACTAAGTTGCTGTTGATTATAGGTGCCTATTTACAAAGGTCACAGAGCAGGAACAGCAAGGAAACATCCACGATTTACATGCTGATATTGTTTTTCACGTGTATAGGGGCTACATCCATGATGCACCACATCGATCGGCCACCGCTAACCACTTTTTCATATTCACTTCGTTCCATGAACTCTCGGCACGTAAACGTATTATACAGGGTGGCCCAAAAGTTCTGCCTCATAGGGATTTATTTTCTGGGTCCGCGACATTGATCTGTTGAAAGACTTCCTTCGCGCAGCCTGTGCTGTCACTAGAAAGACCCTTGCGCGTGTGCGTGACAACTTTTGTCACCGTGTCCACGTTTGTCAAATCCTTAACGATACCCCATTTAAACATTTTATGTAGCCATACTAAGCCGTATGAGGCTGGACTTTTGACCACCCTTTATATTATTATTTTTTAAAGAATATTCTGACATCGATATGAAAGTATAATCACTCATCAACCCGACAAAACTTCAGCAAGATATCCAGAATCTGTGGTGGAGGAGACTGGAGCCTGTACGAAAAGCTTAAATAACAGCTTTTTTTTCACTGCGAAATGGTGCATCGCCAACTACGCCAAAGGGAAAATAAAAATAAAAATAAAAATAAAATATAATAATTTAAATTTTCGGGATTAAATTCACACCGGCTAAAAAGAGTCTTCCCCGCATCATGGAGGAGATGGAACGAGAAGGCGGATTTTTTAAAAACAGAAATTGACGTCTACTTTTTCATCCCATTTTGCTGCGCTCATAAAAAATAAAAACTCCAAACAAAAAAGAAATGAAGAAATGTCACAAATATCTTTTTTTGCTTTTGGTGTTTCATAGGTACCAATGACTTCATAGGGCTTCGCCATGGCGGGACCCCCATCAGACATCGTTTGGTTAAAATCTGGGCTACTCCATTTTACTCCACCTTCCCTTCAGGAAGATTAGTTGCGGTGATGTGGAATAACTTGGTCCGCATGGAAATTTTTGCGACAGTTTGCCATAGGATGTATAGTTAGCTCATGTAAAATTTCGATACGGGGAAGAGTCCCTGGCTTTTCTCGGCTGACGTGGAAAAGCGCATATTTCAACTATCCTCTCCAATCGTTAATTTGCCCATTTGCTCCAGGTTTGCGAGTTAAGGGTGTCATTGCATTCTGTCGGTATCAGGCCAATTACACCGTTCTTTGATAAGATATGGGTTTATTATTTCATGCCAGAGAAAACTGCGTACATGACAACACACTTTATCTAGTCCTGGTAATGATTTCCACGAAGGACAACGTCTGGTTGATGAATGTCATCAAACTTGGGAGACAGGGGAAGAGGCAGATGAAAAGGAAGGAGTAGGAAAGGAAGGGTAAGGAGAGATTTCCTTTGCTTTATTTATTCTGTGCTTCCATTCAGGCTCGTTGAAGTATGGAGAAGGTTCTTGGCATTGTCGTACATTCCTCCATCTCTCCTTCAACTAGTGGAAGAAGAAGGAAATAAATTATTTCCTTCCCAACCTCTCTCCTCCCCTGTGAAATAACTGTGAAGAGAGGAAGGAAGGATGAAAGCGGGAATCGATAGCTCCTCTCCTCTAGAAAATCATGGATACAGAATTCCATGTCAGATTCGCAGAATTTCCTGCACCCCTGAAATTTATCTCCTCTAGAAAAGAAAATTTCCTTCTCCAACCAACATTTACCCTCGTTAGTTATAATTTGATATTCCATTCCTGTGCATTTTAATCAGACTGGGTCGGCTGCCCACATTTGCTAGAGGTAAGCAGGCTGGACAAAACAGCCCAATAGTAAGCTGCCTTTGAGTAAGTCGTACATTCATGCGTAATTCAAGGGAAATGTATGAGATGTGAGGGAGGGATACAGAAAAAAGTGCCTGGAGATGGATTTTGCAGTGTGTTGGTGATTAGGTCCGTCTTGTTTTGAATGCGATAAGGTCCCGATACTCCTCAAATGCTGTGTGATTCGCGAATGGAAAAAGAAAACGTTTGGTATGGATTTTATTAATCTGGTGTTTCACACCATATCTAAAAAAAAAAAAGTTTTATGTCTGTGGGAAAAAAAAGGGAAGTGGGCCTGGTCTATCAAGTTATATACCGGCCTCTTCCACTGTCTCCTCCAGGAGCCTATCATTCTCCTGAGCGACGACAATGACAGGACAGCGGAAAAAAAGACGTGAAACATTTTGTCATGTATGTTGTTGACAGTTTCCAGAGCATGGCTTGACCCGGTTGAACGAGAGACTACTCCTGTTTCGACATGATTACACGACCCCGAATGTTCTGCAGATTGTCAACTCCGTCACTGAAATCTCCGATGATACCCTCGTCGAAATCGTCCTCACCGGTGAGAACCACGTTGTTTATGTCTGTATTTGAAAGAGAGAGAGAGAGGAGGAAAAGCGGTGATTAAAACTCATATCTGAAAGGGGAGATCAGGCTCACGCGTGCCTTGCATATTCCCCTTCGAGCACGGACTTTAATTAGAAAGGTGAATCATAGGAAAAAGTTGCATCACTCACTCTCTCTCGTCATTGAGACAAGAGATGGATGCCAGTCCATCTTTCTCTTCTCGCGCTTTTATGCTCATGAGAGACTAGAGACAAAAGGCAGAGTCAGGCCCTTCATCTGGGATGTGAGGAATGGGGTTCGCACCATCATCATCTTTCATCACTCGGGGCTTTTGAGATTTAAAACAGCCATCATTTTCACATCCATGGAGAGGAGGAACCCTGAGATGATGATGGTGATGATGGCAATGATCATCGTCCTCTCGATCCTTATGTATCCTAGCGAGCTCATCATGATCATGGATTGCGTCTTAGCCCGTATGTCAACAAAAGAGAAGAGGAGAAAGGCTTGAAGGCTAGTGGCCACGACCCTCGATTTGATCGATGGATCCCAATTGGTCTCAGTGATTAGGAAGCCGAGACGTGTCCAGCAAGAGAAACGAGACTTGAAATGAAAGGAATATAAAAAAAAACTCTTCCAGGCACGGCATTGCCAAACAGCCAACTCTTGATTATCGAATTACCTGCTATGTTGGGACCGTAATCAGTATGAGAAACCGATCCTGGGTGATGTTGAATTATCTGATTGATTATTCCCATTTCGTAGTGGGGAGATGACTCATGTGGGCCACCTGGCGTTCTCTTGAGCTCTGGGCCTCGAGGTTGAGCTACATTAGGTGGAAAAGATAAATCGATAGGCAGAACGGAAGGATGCATTGATGATGCAGCGAAGAACGAAAGAGAGAGGAGGGATAATCTAATACCCTCATTCCAGATTGGTCTTCCCTCGTTTCTATGCAAATTCCTCGAAAAGCCGTCTGGTGTTACCCACAGATATTCAGAAAATGGGACTCCTTCGACCCGCGCTGAGACCAAACTTACGGTACATTATCACCCCTCCCATTTTTATCCGCTGTTACATTCCGTGCCCATGTCCCGTGCCTCATCCAATCTTTATTCAGGTTCAGGTAGTGCATGTGGTTTCGTTCAAGTTCAGTCCATCCTCTGAAGAAGAAAATTCATTACTAGTAGGGATATGTTAGGCCCTTCTGCTATTGCCATTGCCAACGCCATTTGCTAGCATATACACTCTGATGGTCCTTCTATCCCCCGGGGCTCGTCTCTGAAACTGTGATCAACTGGATACTCATAAAACCCATTTATTTTCACTTCTCTCTTTCTAGCCCAAGTGCCAGTGGAAGAGCAGGCGATTCAAATCCGCCCACACGAACTCTATGTTCACTCCTACCGAACCCCCACTTTCTGTGACTTTTGTGGGGAAATGTTGTTTGGACTTGTGAAGCAGGGACTACAATGCAAAGGTGGGATAACTATTGTTGTAGGCAGTATCCTCCTCAGTCTTTTGCTGAAAAGGAAAACAGGTCTATATGCAAAAAAGTAGTTTCTAAAGCTACAGAAGGAAAGAGTGAAGGTTGTAGTGACGACCAAACACAAGGAAGGTTAAACACAAGGAAAATTGGCATATTAGCATAGGATCAATATTCCATTTACGAAAATCCCATTAAACTACTATCTTCAAAGAAAGGAAAATAAAAATAAGTCTATCCTTATTGGATCAGTTTTTTGTTTCTCAGTCTTCTTTAGCAAGTAGACCAGTCTTCCTTTAAACTGTTATTTCTTCTCACTACAAATGTTTCTACTCTGTTCCAGGTTGCAATCAGAATTACCACAAGCGCTGCGTAAACAAGATTCCCAACAACTGCAGCATGGCCAGGAGAAGATATTCTTCATACAATTTATTGCCAGTGCCTCGCACACCTTCTGACCAGGGTTCCATAGGGAGTGGAAGTGGGAACTCCATCACCATCCCCGAGGACTCCACTGTCAATTATGTCAGCCCCTTCCCCTCATTTTGTCTTTTCACAGGCCTCACTTCCCCACTCTGAATAATGGAAGTTATTTTGTGCAAGAAGTGTGTATAATTGTACCCATATCCAAGGCCTTTTTCTCATCATAGGTTATAAATCCAAATCTTTTAAATATTCACCCCATATTTTCTCACAGAGAAAGACACTTCATATGTGATATTGTCCTTTTCTCCACTCTGATTGAATCACTTTTGGTACTTTGTGGATCATCAGGCTGTTTACTTTTCCTCATTAGGATTTGGATTAGTGTGTGTAAAGTTTATTACCTCTGTGGTTTTTCTTGTTCTTCCATCACCCCTCATAATGACAAACTCATTTGAGTACTAATACTTTGAGTTACTGAAATATCTTACAAGCAGTATTAAACTCCCTCATAAAAAAATTGAGGATTACATTTTTTTATTATTTTGAAAGACAGCATTATTCTGTCCCATTCATTCTACATAAGTTGCAGTCATTTACATTCCCACATTTACAAATTTTCAGATATTTTCTTTATATACTACAATAAGCTCAATCAATAGGAATGTGATTGTTAAGATGATGACAATGTATATGAATGTGCCATAGGGAAGTCTGGGGAGAGGAAGTGTCAATCAAGGCCAACGTTCTCCAGTCTTGAATACAAGCCGCTCATTTGCTGAAAGGAGTGACCTATCTTCAGGGCTCATTCCTGGCCAGGGTCCAACACCTGGACCTGGAAGACCTAGAATCCCACACACTTTTGTGGTTCACACCTACACAAAGCCCACTGTGTGCCAGCATTGCAGGAAGCTCCTCAGGGGTCTCATTCGCCAGGGCCTCCAGTGTCGAGACTGCAAGTTCAATGTCCATAAGAAGTGCTCTGAAAAGGTCCAATCAGAATGCATTGGGGAAGCACCTCGAGAAGCAGCTGGTGAGCCTGTGCAATTTATGATACATTGATATTAATGCATCTGGCTCCTTGCAATTGATTTTAGTTGAGAGGTAGTGACTGACTGAGTGAGTAACTTGCAGTAAATTTTGTGGTTGTGTATATGAAGATGGAGAAGGTGATAGGGATATCTCAGAATCTGGGGAAGGTGACTCATCAGATGCAGAGAATGAATCTCCCCCTGGGTCACAAATAAAGACCATGGCTATCAATGGATCAGTGAGTCACATATTTAATCAGCTAGGTTTTTGAGATAAATGAATCTCTTGTTTCTTCTTAGCCTCTTTTCTCTTTTCCTTTACTTTTAGGATGCAAGTGGAGAGACACAGGAAGAAGAGCAGGGGGTCCGGAAGCAACCTAGGTAGGCTGATATTCCTTTTATTTCCACACTGACTGCATGGCATATGGGATCCAAAGCAATTTTAGATCCCAAATTTCCCTGTGACAATTCTAATAAAACTGGCATCTTTATCCATTTCTGCCCTCCCTTCAGTAACATTCCAGTTCAGAGACTGGTGCAGTCTGTGAAGCACACCAAGAGACGAGGTTCACAAGTTATCAAGGAGGGGTGGCTGGTGCATAGCACAAACAAAGATTCCAATGTCTGTTTTTTCCCTTATTGTCATCCTGTCATTCTAGCGAGCTGAAAGCATTTATTGCAGACATTTATGGCTTTGCAGTTCAAGCGGCACTACTGGCGTTTGGATAGCAAATCCATAACCCTCTATCAGAATGATACCACCAAGAACTACTACAGGGAGATTCCTCTGGCTGAAATTCTGGCTGTTGAGACAGCTAAGTCTTCTAAGGAGAGTCAGTTACAATTGATTTTGATACATGATTAACAATGCCCACAGAGGCTTCTGAATGGAGTATTAGGGTGATGTTTTGTGAATTCTACAGGTCAAAAAGGGTCCCATTGTTTTGAGCTGCGGACAGCAAATGTTGACTACATGGTGGGGCATGACACCCCAGGAGAAGAGTTGGGGACTCCTCCTAGTGCAGAGTCAGGCATAGGATTGCACCTGGCCAGAAGCTGGGAGACAGCCATTCGACAAGCTCTCATGCCTGTCACCCCACAGAACTCTCTTGCCAATGCACAGAATGCCACTGGAGTTTCAAGCCAGCTGACCAAGGCCTCTTATGCTTCTGGTGAATAATGGGCTGAAAAAGCTTGATTTGGGATGCTCTTTGCCTTGTTGGGAGTTCATTGGTACCATTCATTTGCAGGTGAGAGAAGCGAGCAGGAGTCAGAACGAGGAGGAGACATTGCACAGCTTTATCAAATCATTCCTGATGAAGTCCTTGGATCAGGACAATTTGGCATTGTCTATGGAGGTCACACACCTAGCTCCTCTTCTCAGGTTTTCCTAATTATACAAGGGAAGGACTGCATTTGAACTCTAATCCTCTCTTGAATTTAGGAATCCACCGACGTTCAAGTCGCCCAGTTGCTATCAAGATCATCGACAAAACCCGCTTCCCACATAAGAATGAGGCCCAACTAAAAAATGAAGTGGCCATTCTGCAGAATCTCTCTCATCCTGGTGTAGTGAATTTGGAGAAGATGTTTGAGACTCCTGAACGCATCTTTGTCGTCATGGAAAAGTTGAGAGGAGATATGCTGGAAATGATCTTATCACATCCCAAGGGGCGCCTCTCAGAACGTACCACCAAGTTTCTCATCACTCAGGCATGACCTCTTCCTTTCCTGCCTTTCAGAAGCTTCATTTGAGTATTGACAGATTATCAGCATGAACATTTGTCTCATTTACACATTGTAGATTTTGGTTGCCCTGAAGCACCTGCATAGCAAAAATATCGTTCACTGTGATTTGAAGCCAGAGAACGTTCTACTGTCATCAGATTCTGAACTCACACAAGTGAAGTTGTGTGACTTTGGTTTTGCTCGCATCATTGGCGAGAAATCCTTTCGTAGATCTGTAGTTGGAACCCCTGCCTACTTAGGTCAGTTTTGCCTTTTCTGTTTGGTTTAGAGAGTGTGAATTTGTTTTATGCATGAGATATTGACAAATGATGGCCTTACAGCTCCTGAGGTGCTACGCAACAAGAAGTACAATCGTTCTTTGGATATGTGGAGTGTGGGTGTCATCATCTACGTAAGTCTAAGTGGAACATTCCCCTTTAATGAGGATGAAGATATCAATGATCAGATCAAGAATGCTGCCTTCATGTATCCTCCAAATCCATGGAAGGAAATTTCTATGGAAGGTTTGTCCTGCTACTGCACTTTTTAAGTCAGCAATGCCCTAAATTTGTCTCATTGTGTTGCTGTTTCCTTACATCCTCATCTGTAGCAATTGAAGTGATCAGCTGTGTGCTTCAAGTGCAGGCAAACAAGAGATTCACCGTTGACAAGACTTTGTCCCATCGATGGCTTCAGGTTAGCGGACATTGTCACCTTTTAATTTGTGTTGCTGCTGGTGGATTGAGGTAACTTTGGTTCTTGTTTTAGGATTATCAGACATGGTGTGACTTGAGAGAACTTGAAAAGAAGGTGGGAATTCGGTATGTGACACACGAGTCAGATGATGCACGATGGGAGCAATACAAGCGGGAGCGTTACCTGGATCCCAGTCGAGATCCATACACATTCACCCAGTGACCTATGCTGGCATGGTGGCAGCTTTTTTTTTCTTCTATCCCATCTTTCTTGGCATTCTTACTTCCTCCTATTGCCTCCAGTTCTCTCTCTCTCTTTCCCATTCTTTTCTCTCTTGCATTTTTGCATCCTGGCTTCCTTCTTTAGAATGCTTTCTCACTGCGCTACAATTTTACACCTGGGCAGTGGAGCAGGATGACTTCACAGTGCCTTATGTAATTTTTTTCTTTCCTCATGCAAGCACAGTATGCAAGCAGGAGAGAAAAAGAGAGAGAAAAGGAGAGGAGGATATTATGAGTATGAAGAGATCACAGTACAGTATGCCATGTTGTGTCACATAGAGATGCATTATATAGGCCTATGGTTGCCTGCCGTCCGTTAAGAGTGCTGCAACATTCCATGTGTGACCCCAGCTGATTTCTTTTATCCTCACCATGCAATCCTCTCTCCAGTTGTTTTGGAGACTTGGGCTCACTTTTTCTTTGTAAAATATTATTTTCCTTCCCATCTGGTTCCATGTGTCTTTCCTCTTTGATGCACGATGATGATTGCGAATGTGATCTTGCTTGTTTTTACCTCTCATCTTTCTCATTGCATTCATAAGAAAAAAAAAATATGGCTCTTTCTCACAGATGTGGTTATGGGACAATAAAACATTTTACTTTTTCAGATCTTACCCACTTTCATTATTTTGCTATCCATTCATCGTTAATTTGCAACGTTATGTGTAATTGCTGAATGACCTCAACAAGCAGAAAAAAGGGGAGTTACAAATCCGCAGTTCCTTAAGATTCTGAGGCGTATGTGTACAATGGAATTAAAGAAAGTTTTAATTCTCAGGATGCGCCCATGCTAACGGGCAGAAACCCTATCTTGTCTGAAACCCATGGGAGACTACTTCAGCAGAATTTTGAGACATGCCTTACGAGAGCGGCAAATGTTATTCGTGATCTGACACAATCACTTGTAAATTTAATTGGGGCTGATGGTGATTGAATGACACCTTTATTGTTCTTAAACCACATGGACCAACACAACACAATTTAGCAGTTATTGTTGACCCATATGCATCAAAGGCTTATAGCCATGGTTGCCCACCAATGGCATTTTGAGTTTTTGCGGTGCGATCTGACAAACTGCCAACACCATTTTGTGGGATTCTCTTTAGCGAGTGGTTCGGTTGACCCTAACCAAGTCAAGCGTTTATTTCTGAGTGCAAGCCTGCTTGAGGGGCAGTGGCATAGCGAGGGGGGTCTGGGGGGCTGAAGCCCCCCAAACTCTGGTCAAAATGCATCCACCCCCCCCCCCTCCCTCCCTCCCTCCACCCACGAAGAGAAGTAAGCCCTCATAGGCAAAAACCTGGTTACGCCATTGTTTAGGGAGCCCCTTGAGCACTTGGCCACCTGGAATATGTAGGCCCAATGTAAATACGCCGACGGGTCAAAGTTGACTAATATGCAGTGGCGTAGCCAGGGTTTCGCCCAGGGCATATTTTAATGTGCAGTTCTGAATTGGGATTTGTGCATTCAGAACTGGGCAATAATTAAATTTTGAAACAAATATTTGACGGGAAAATGGTGCTAAATCTAATTTTTCTTCCAAAATTTTCACGCTCCACGCAAGGGGGGAGTGAGGGAGGGGGGGGAGGGGGGCTCCGCGTGGCGCCGTACCAACCACTGCTCCAGAGGGGTTATATAATCATTTGTGCATTTCTGATTTTTTTTCCTTACAATATGGCTTGGTTTCGCCAAAGGGGGAAGGGGGGGGGGGCTAGAACCAATCTTGGGGAAGTTGAAGCCCGCCACCTCACGACGCCACTGCTATGTCCACTTAGAACCATCGTTCTGCCCACATTTTCCTACGTTAGAACAACATTGTGCCAATAGCTATGAGATCCCAATGAGATAATCTTGCTATGTGGAGTGAATCTCCTGGACGTTGTACAAATAAGTTTGATAGTTTTTGACGGGACAAGCATGCTGGTCAGGAAATATGGGAATATCCATTCCGAAGGGATACTGGAACACTTGCATCCTCCGTTCCATTCCCTGATCCCGTCCTCCCGATCGATCAACATTAAAGGCCCCGGATGGATTGCATAAAACTGACTTTAGCATAATGGAACTTCAAACCTCCTTGGGCCTACTCGGGCCGGAGCTTACGCGGGGTAGCAATAGCGTGGTTATTGCTAATTGAGAACTTAACCCAATACACCGCCACAGCACCGTATTAATTAAATGGGTTTTTGTTTATTTTTTGTGTTAGATGTCATCACTGTGTCTATCAGTCAACAAGGGGAGCAAATCCTCACTGACCACGGACCGGCTCGAGTAGGCCCAAGTTTACATCTTGTTTACAGGGAACAGTAACCAAAACTAAATTAAATTACTTGCCTTAAACTAAAATTCACTTGCGTGAAATCCACATGACTGAAAAAAAAGAGACGAAACACGATTGCTCCCAATGAGAGCAAAGAACCGACTGAACTAAAGCTTCCCTTTTTGCTCGCAGACTTTCAAGCCTAGAGGGCCCCACGCGATGTTATCGCCGTGCCATGTTATTTCCTCGATGTTTTGTTCGCAATGTTCTTTCCGTGCACCTCTCAATGGAGACACGAAATAAACTCCAAAAAATTCTCTGGCGAAGAATCATTTGCTTCACTATTGCCCTGCAGATAAATTTTTCTTCGTGCCTTCTTCGTGAACACTTACGGGGTGGATTGCATAAAACTGACTTTAGCGTAATGGAGCTGCCATTTTAAAATGCTAAAATTTAGTCGACGAAATGTCCAGTCGAAGGAGCGTTCTGGTGGAAGAACTAATAAGGAGTATGTCACAGTCAACGATGTATTATCACGTGATTAATTGTCCGCAAAGCAGATCTAACTTCACTGAACGCCATCAGACAAAAGCCTGTCAAAGAAACGTCCAGTCGAAGAAGTGACATGGAACCCACTTATCCCACTTATATGTTGCGAATGGTTACGGAGTGAATGCCAAAATTTCGGTTTGTTTTTTTTTATGTGGAATGACCGATAAAAACAAAGGGTTTCTCCAGAAGGAATTATTATTTTTTTCTTTAGTAGCAGCGAAAACTTGAAGATAGGACGGGTAGGGCATATTCAAAATTTCGTGACACAAAGATTTGACTGTAAGGCATGCAAAAGTGCTCAAAACGAAGTCAATTATGATTTTTTAGATGCTTTGCAGATGGATTATGGGCTGGATATTAGTGAATTATTCTCAGCCATTTCAAAAACTTGTATTTTATTTAAACTTAAAAATGTTCCTGTCCATTTATTGGAAGGGGAGCAGGCTGTGCTCCTCATCAAATCTCTCAGATAGAACAGCTCTATCGTGCTATTGTGCATGCCATGAGAACAAGGAGATTTGTTAGTAGTTTGAGTTTAGTGTAAGGCCAAGAAGATGATGCAAGCCTGTTAGGGTAGGTCATGAGTATAAGGTAGGTCTTACCAATATTTGTGAGCATTTGTATTGTTAACCCAGTTTTGGAGGCTATAAATTTCATTTTGTCTCCAGAACAACCAGAGTGGGAATAGTAAATCCAAGTAACTTTATTTCTTTCTTTCTTTCCCAATTGATAGGAGGACACAGGTATGGAACAAAGCCCGTGAAAGCCTTGTCAAAAAAGAGGAAAGGGAACAAAATAAAAAAGTAAAAAGTAAAATAAGGATAAAATACAGCATATATAAGTCAAAACAGAGTCCAATAGAGGAAAGGGGGTTTTTCTGACTATTGTCAGAAAAACAGGTTAATTATCAAAGAGCTAAACTACCCATTACAATCCCTTGAAATGTCAAATAACATTTCAATGAATTGTAACTATTAACAGAAGCCTGAAGCAGGAGAGGAGATTTAGAACAACCATATCACGGATAAAATAGAAGTATCGTTCCATAACTTGTGTGACAGGTTGAATAAAGAGTTTTGGTGCATTGCAGTTCTATTAATTTTTATAATGAAGATGAAAGTAGACTGTCTACAAACATTAATTAAAAGAAAGCCATGTTTCAGGAAATGGAAATCATTACACAAGTACAGATTTTCTATGCAGAGAGTAATGGCTAAGTTCTTTCGAAGATTCTCTATGGACAAGTTTAAGATCCTCAAGCGTGCAGGGTAAGAAGGTGAGCTAAGTTTGCTAACTTTTCAGTATGCACTGTACACGTTCGAGTTCAGTTATGAGTTTAGGTGTATAAGGCATCCAGGCTGGGGCGCAAAAATCTAAGTGAGGACGAGCCAATCCAATATATAGCTTGCGGAAAGCGGATATATCGCATACTCTTAAGAGTCAAAGTTTGGTTTGAGGCGTTAAGAGGCGAATCCGCCTATTATGACGTTCCCGGACGAGGTCGAGAGTTCATTATCATAAGATGGGCCTGCCCCTCTTGGATATTTTTGTGGGAGCAAAGCCACCTAATGTCTAGTCGCTTGCATCTACGCTGCTCCCTTTTTTGTTTTGAATATCTGAAGGTTAGGAAAATCACTTCAAAGGACCTTAGAAGATTTAGAGCTCATAGAGTGTATGTGCTCATTCCAGCAGAGGTTGTTATGAGGATTCCGAGTTGCTTATGGGACTTGTACATAGTAAGGCTTTCACCCAACGAGAGAGTACTGGGGCAGGAGGCCTGTGACCGAGTTTCTACAATATGAGAATATGAGTTTTGAAGATGTTTTTAGGGAAGCAAGATTGGTGTTACACCAAGCCTCCAGTTTTCTAAGGTCAGACTGGAGAGAGACCTCGAGCCGGTTGCACTGCTTTCCTTTCAGACTTGCAAAAAATCTGGCTTCTCGAGATGTCTGACTTGGGAAAGTCTGGCTTCAGTCTCAGTTGCACTGACTCTTAGTAAGGGTCAGTGTAACTTCTAAAATTAATGACAGATTCCCAAAGTCAGACTTCGCGTTCAAGTCTGACCTAACAGGCAGTGCAACCGGACCCCTCATCAAGGGAGTTTCTAAGGCCCTGATGAGTAAGAAGTCATCAGCGTAGAGGAGACATTGCGAAATTGAGGTTCTCTGGAAGGTCATTAATGTAAGGGATAAAAAGGATAGGGCCTAAAAATGAGCCCTGTGGCACTCCGAAGAGAAAATTAAGCATATTAGAGGAGCTATTTGAGAATGAAACATATAGAGTACGGCCGACCAGGAATTACTTAACCCATTCAAGGATGGGCCCCCGTATATTGTAGAGATGGCCTAGTTTATGGACTAAGATGGAATGGAGGACGTGGGCAAATGCTTTGCAGAAGTCTATGGCACGCATATCAATCCAGCGAACAGTTATGTAATCATAGGCTGATGAGATGGTGTGCCAGAGCAGGGCTGGTTGATCGACCTGGCAGGAATCCAAACTGCTTTTAGTGCAATAGATCAAGTGCTGAGACACGATCATACGTTTGCAAATAATTTTTTCCATTACCATTACACACGTTTGAGGTTAGGGTATTAGGTTTATAATTTTGAATAAGATTGTTAGGACCAGATTTATACTGTAGATAGGGACCAGGTTTGTGGGTTGTTTTTTTTTTTTAGTAAGGAACTTTGTAATTGAAAGCGGTAAATTAAAATGGGCAGTTTGTGATGAGGTGATTCCTGATGCAGAGAAAGGAAAAAGTCTGGAGTTGATCTTATCAGGTCCACACGAATTTTTATTTTG